TGAAATGACATGTGAAGCATCTTCTTCTACTGTGACTCAATCGACATCATCAGAGCCATGTGAGACGGACAGCACAGGATCAAGCTCATCGAGTGAAATGACATCTGAAGCATCTTCTTCTACTGTAACTCAATCAACATCATCAGAGCCATGTGAGACGGAAAGCACAGGATCAAGCTCATCGAGTGAAATGACATCTGAAGCATCTTCTTCTACTGTAACTCAATCAACATCATCAGAGCCATGTGAGACGGAAAGCACAGGATCAAGCTCATCGAGTGAAATGACATCTGAAGCATCTTCTTCTACTGTGACTCAATCGACATCATCAGAGCCATTTGAGACGGAAAGCACAGGATCAAGCTCATCGAGTGAAATGACATCTGAAGCATCTTCTTCTACTGTAACTCAATCGACATCATCAGAGCCATGTGAGACGGAAAGCACAGGATCGAGCTCATCGAGTGAAATGACATCTGAAGCATCTTCTTCTACTGTAACTCAATCGACATCATCAGAGCCATGTGAGACGGAAAGCACAGGATCAAGCTCATCGAGTGAAATGACATCTGAAGCATCTTCTTCTACTGTAACTCAATCGACATCATCAGAGCCATGTGAGACGGACAGCACAGGATCAAGCTCATCGAGTGAAATGACATCTGAAGCATCTTCTTCTACTGTAACTCAATCGACATCATCAGAGCCATGTGAGACGGAAAGCACAGGATCTAGCTCATCGAGTGAAATGACATCTGAAGCTTCTTCTTCTACTGTAACTCAATCGACATCATCAGAGCCATGTGAGACGGAAAGCACAGGATCTAGCTCATCGAGTGAAATGACATCTAAAGCATCTTCTTCTACTGTAACTCAATCGACATCCTCAGAGCCATGTGAGACAGAAAGCACAGGATCAAGCTCATCGAGTGAAATGACATCTGAAGCATCTTCTTCTACTGTAACTCAATCGACATCATCAGAGCCATGTGCGACGGAAAGCGACCTATAGTAGCTGTATTCTGGACCTATAATAGCTGTATTCGGCTGAAGCTGTTAATCTGAATTGGTTTTTTTCACCATTTGCAACCATCTTCCATTTAAGGAAATTCAATTCATTCTGATGAGTTTGTCTAATAAATAATTTATTTTCAAAGCAATTTCTTGTATTTTGTATTTAAAAAAGTTCCTTCTGATATCGATTTCCGACGCTTCATGAAATTACTCCAGTTGTGTGTTACCAATTAGAGTAGAGAGGGAGTCAGCTGTTCTGCATCACTATCTTTGCCCAACTGATAAGAGTGGTTTCGCAACCAAAATGTGTTGTCTATTGCTATGCGTAAAAACTAGTCGTCTATTTGTTACCGAACTTTTGAGTACGTTTTATCTTGTTGTCTTTCTTAAAGAGGTCGTCTAGACAATCAGAAAAGAAAATTATTTTGAAATCCATAATTGTCTAATTTAGAATAGAGTTGTAAAGATTTCAGAATTTTTTGTCTGCTCTAAATTGTTGTTTCAGCCCCAAAGTTGTCCAAAATGTTTTCTCCCTGTCTCATCTATTCCTCATAACTAAACAGATGTTTCATAATTTTATCCATTTCCTCATGTTGTTTATTCTTCCTCACTCTTATTTTACTTGTCTGTGTGTCTATCTCTCTATTCTTCTTCCTCAGTTTCGCAGTTGTTTTTCACATCACAATACATAGTTCTTCCTGTTCGTTTCCATTTTTCACCTATTTCAGCCATGGATTCTTCCCAAAGAGGTCATCCGTTCCATTCGAAAAATTCTTGTGAGATGTTGAAAGTGAAACCGTGAGTGGACCCAAATTTTTGGTTTTCAATAGATTTTGAGTTTTAGACTACTACCAATAACTGTTGTTTTGGAACCAGTTCGTTCCAGTTTTGAGTCTCGAATTACCATTCCTAGAACTGTAGAACCTCCAAGGCCTCAGTTAATCAAACCTACCGAAGAAGTGTATCCTTCACTCGAATGTTGTAAGTATGATTTTGAAATTGCTCTGAAATTGGTGGCACCTGCGGTGTCATCAAGGAATTTGACACGAGTTGAAAAAGAAGAAGAAAAAGTGTCTCAGTTGGGAATGAATTCGCCAGTTGTTGAGTCGTCAGTTTTGGGATCGATGTTGAACGAACTTTTGGGTGAGTAAATGATTCGATTTTGAAAAATACTATTTTAGAAGATAGCTATACTGATAAAACTGTGATGCTATTTTTCAGCTCAAAAGACCAAAGAATCCCCAGTTGTCCAAGAGGATTCGGATGCAATTTCGAAGGTCACAAATGAACAAGTTGAAAATGAGGAAGAAAGATTTTCCCCATTGCAAATGAACCAACCTACTATTGAGTCATCAGCTTCGGAATTGGTTTTGAACGAACTGTCGGGTGAGTAAATTTTTTAATTTTATGATCATGGAAAATTTCTTTAAAATTGTAATGTTAATTTTCAGCCCAAAAGAATAAGGAATCATTGACGGTCGAAGAGCATTCGGACGCAATTTCACCAAAGACTTCTCTTTTGCCTTCTGAAAATGGTATTGCCAAATTTATTAGTTTACAAACATTTTTCTTTTTTAGATGTTGTTGAAAATCCACAATTTGAAGACGACGATTTATCTTTAATCGAAACTCCATTGAATCCGGTAGCCAGAACGTCGATTACAATCGAACAATTGTTTGCAGCTTTTCCTTTAACTCCAGGTAACTAATATCCTATTGATCCAAACTTAGGAAACCGAACTTTTCAGCAATTCCAATCGCAATGGATAGCACTAATGGCATTCCAACTCCAGATGATAACAGCACGTACCTTCCTTCCATAGAAAAGGAGCACTCAATTTCTGAACAATACAAAATGTTGATTCAAGAAGCTTGCTGCACTTCGGAAGCTGAGAAAGGAGAGGAACTGAAAGGTAGACTCGATTTTGTGTAGTTAAACCAAAGTAAACGTTTTCAGATCCTTCCTTAGTGAACTTGGAAAAAATTATCCAAGAAAATTGGTCGGATTTGTCTATTGTCAACCCATCCGAAGACAACAAAGAAGAAATTGCTCATCAACCAATCAGTTTTGGAGAGAAAACGGATTATCTCAGTTTTGGAAACGGAATTTCAGATTCTGCCAATATTGGAGCCTCAGAAAATGTTGAATCTGAAAACAAACTCGTTGAGTTTGTCCATCAGCCGCAAGACAATGAAGAAGAGCATTTGGAGGAGCTTCATTCTTGTTAGTATAAACCAACAAATTCCGTAAAAACTATAATAGAACGGTACCCCTAACTTTCAGCTTTGTCCCAGTTTATCTGGATTTCTGTAAGAGATATCAAAAGGTAATCAACTAAGAAAACATGTGATATATTATGGATAACATTTTATCAGTTGACAACTTTTTGATCTCTTTTACATCAAATGAGATATATGGGCTGAAAGTTAGGGGTGGCGTTCTCTTACGGTGTTTATTAATTTCAAAATTTCTTTAGATAACTCAAACAAGAACAAGCCAGAAGTTGAAGATGAAAGCGTTGAGCCCCTTATGGAATATGCCAAAGAACCAACCCACGAATATACTCTATCAGATCAGGAAAAATCTCTTATCGAAGAAAACGATAATTTCTTCAAAACTGGACAAGACTCAGTTCTCGCTGGTAAGGTTTATTTGAGATTTCAAGCTAAAAAATCTAATTCCAGATCCGAATCCCTCGGTGATGGCATGGTCCCAGATTTTGAACCAAGAGCAGGAGCCTTCTGCTCCAGAAATGTCTGTTCAAAGTCCGGCATGCGAAAATCCAATGGTCGAAAATCCAGAGAATTCAAATGAGTACGGAACTAATTTAACGAGTTTAATGAAAAATCTCAAAACTTTCAGATTCGACTCATTGGTTGGAGATTTTGATATTATTGAAATCGACGATACTCGCGAGGAAGGTGCAGATGTTCCAGAAACAATGTAATTGACAATTACTAATTGATGTGTAATATGTATTTTTAGTTTTGTAAATCGAAATAAATACTTTTGTTAGAATTTTTATTTTCAATTCTGCACTTCACCCCAAATTATCTTCTTTCTCATTGTTAAATTTCGCAAGCCAATACCAGCTGTCACTCTCCCCCATATTTTATTGCTAGCCCTAATTTCTTATCTCTCCCTGTCTCTGTTCTCTCAGCACGTGTTTTGGTACCAGGTAAACAATTGTTTCCCAATTTCTTCCTATTCAGCATTTTTTGAAACTTAAAGTCTCAATCTTTGAATGTTCCTTCTAGACCTCCCGATGGCTAGAAAAAACAAGAAAACTAAAAATAAGAGAGAAGCGGGAACAAAAATGGGTAAGAATAATGTCAAGGAAACGCCGTCCAAGACGACAACGACGACGGTGACGCCGGATAGGAAACAAGTCGGGAAAGTTAAAAATGAAGTGAGTGTTTTCGTTTGAGTTTTTATGTATCGAAATGTACTAAACAACGGCACATAATTCGGAGGATACAACAATTCGGGAGTACAACGGGGTACAAAGTGAATTCGGGGTACAAAATTCACAATTCGGGGGTACAAAACTAAGCCTTTTTCAACTATTTTTTACCCCTAAATTGCTTTGTACCCCAATGACCCCTAAATATTTGTACCCTCCGAATTATTTGCCCTAAACAACTGATTCTTCTCAATTTTGATGTTAGATTTTTAAAAATTGGCGAGATATAATTGTTTTCAATATTGTTTGTTTCGTCCAACTTATAGCAGATATGCCAAATAAAACTTTTCGAATGTAACTTAGGAAGGTGGCCTCTTTCCAGAGGAAATGATTCCAAAACGGACCGCTGTATATCCGAGTTTCAGTCAATGCCTAAAAATAAATTTTTAAAACCGAAATTTTTTAATAAAGGAAAGATCACAGTTCTATAGTTCTATATACCAAGCTTTTTTTTCCAAATTTTTTAATTTTCAGGCTCCCAAGAACAAGCAGGAAATCACATATCGAAATCGAAATATCAACAATAACCAAAAACCTCAGGTAAGAGATAATTATTTTCGAAGACTTTCAAAGTTCCAAAACGTTCAGAATACACTCAAAACGAGTAAGCAAAATCAAGCTAACAAAAATGTTCCCAAGTCTCAACAAAATCAGAACCCACCCAAAAAGAGTGGGCCATCAATTCAACAAAATCCAGTGAACAGAAATGGACCTTCTCAAAATAGGAAACCGGTGCAAGTGAGCTAAAAATGACTTATCAAGAATGACATACAAGTTTTCAGTCACCAGCGATACCCAGGAAAACGCCGCAGAGTCGTGTTCAAGCAAAACAAAACGGTTTGCAAACTGAAGGAATTTCAAAGAGCAGTCCAAGCTTGGAAGGGAGAGCAATTCAAAACCTCGGAGATATTTTAGTTAGTTTTTGTTTTTTGGTTTTTTTATTTTTAGTTGGTTTTTTTATTTCCCCTAAATTAAGCTCACCCCAACAGTCAACTTTGAGCTCAATTACACTTTTTACTTTGAGCCAATTTATCCCGATTCCTGTAAAAGATATCAAAAATTGTTAACTGAAGAAATATTGATGATGTCATGATGAAGTTTTTATCAGTTGACAAAATTTTGATATCTATGACAGGAATCAAGATAATTTAGCTTAAAGTAGACGGTTTAACTGGGCTTTTAGTGGAAATACAGTACCCTTTTTTCAGAAGACATCTCAATCTTCTCATCAAACAAATACGCGGATTGATCAGAAAGAAAAATTTATAAAAGCAATCACGGTCAGCACTAGCTTTCGAAGGACTTTTCAGTACTATATTTTTTTTTCTAGAACAATCCAAAAGTAGGCGGTTTGGCATTCAACACAACAACTGGAGAACCTATGACTACTACGATTAGTTCCAGTATAGGAGAAAACTTGAAGGTCGGTTCGAAAAAGGTTTTTTGCATGAACAACACTATTTTTTCCATTGTAACTGTGTAATTTGAAGTTATTCAGCTGGTTCCAGATTTTTTCAGGCTTAGTAACAAAAAAAAATGACATAAACTAAAATTTTCAAAAAATTATGAAAAGTGTTCAAAGTTCGAAATTTTAATGGAAACGGTCACAAAACTTGAGAAAATCGGTAAATATCAACTCAGGCATAATTTTTCCACTTGGCCCCCCCCCCCTTTTCTCATGGGCCCCCTTTTTTCTCATGGGCCCCATGGGCCTTGTCACAAAGAGCCGGAAATTCAATACTTTTGGTGTGTATGTATGTCAATTTTCCAGGAAAAAAAACTGTTTGCTGATCCATCAGTTTTTTCTTATCACTACCGATGATACATTATCAGTATTCTGATTCGTTCTAATTCTTTCTTTTTTTTTCAGAATTTCGTTTTAAACAACCAACAATCTGTCATATTAGCGGTAGTTTTTGTGTTCTTAATGGGATGTCTTTGTATAGGGCTGACAAGATTCCGATCTTGGATTAGATGGAAGTTGTTTGGAAGAAAGCGAGAACAGATGTGAGTTTAACAAAATGTATAATTGTCTGAAAAGCAATATTTAAGACCGTTGTTGAGTAATCCTGTTCCACCCATAATTCAAGGTCGGAACAGCCTTGATGATGTCCTGGCAGGTTTGAGAGAATCCAGTATAGTTGAAAATAATGAGTCACAAAGAAAATGGAGCAAAACTGTAGAAGATGATCTCAAGGAGTACGAAGAGAGTCTTAAAATACACACTGAAGCAGACGTGGAAGAAAATGCTAGGATAAATGAGGAAATGAGAAAACTCAGGGCAGAAATGAAGAAAATGCGAGTTCCTGCAGCTCTTTTAAAACAGACCTTACGGTTTCAGTGAATCCAATATTGCCAAAATGAAGGAAAAACACGAAAGTGCAAGTTCAAGTTTATCTGGAGTTTTTGGAGAGGCTGATAGGAGACAAGAGGAATTCCAAAGACAATTGGACGAGCAGAACAGGATTTTTGAAGAACAATTGAAGAAAATGAAAGAGGAAAGAGCAAAGAAGGAGGTAAACGGAATGGCGTAAAATTCCGCGGACTGATAAAAATGGGTATATCGTCAAACCTAAGTATCTTTGAAGCACGAAAATTGGTAGAAATATAATTTTACGTTTGATGCAAAGCTACTGAAATTTTCCGCGATAACTCAGCTCAAATTTGATCAAATAAATTCAACTTTGACCGGTTTACTGATGAATTATTTGGATGTTCACATTCCAAACTTGAGCCCAGTACAATGCTTTACTCAAATTTCATACTAGCACCAACTTTCAGAAAGCGGCAGAAGAAGAACTGAACAGAATGCGTTATGAGACTCATCAAAGTATTGCGGCATTCTTAGCGTGTATTCAACTTCGGCTCAGATTTGAAGAAAAGGAAGATGAGTGGTCCACTTCTTTGAAAAAATTAAGGCAACCTTTGATCTCGTTGAAAACTGCTTACTACGATTTGCAAAATGAGGTACGTATATCGTAAACAGAATTCGTCAACCTTCAAACTTTGAGCTCATATATCTCGTTTTCTGGGAAAGATATAGAAAAGTGGTCAGCTGACAAAATATTTATCGTAATGTCAAAAATATTCTATTAGTTCATCACTTTTTGATATCTTTCACAGCAACCAAGACAAATTTGCTCAAAGTTGAAAGTTAGAGATCCATTATATCGTTTAGGGTAATTTATGAATTGCTAATTCAGATGAATTACTTTGATCCCAACGACGAGTTCTCCAATCTCCAAAGTGAATGTCGTTTCTTCTCCAAGAAAATTGAGGATGCTCAAAACATGCTGATTGTGGTTTTTAATAACTTGGATCAAATGTCATTAAACTTTGCAGATAGAATATTCATACGAATGATTATGGTAACTTCTATTTCCATTGAACCAGTAAAATTTGTAAATATTTTCAGAAAGCATGCAGTGAGCAAGGAGCCATTTGTCATTCTATTGGAGTCACTCTAGTGGAGTTTTTGGTAGGCAACGCAAATGCATATTCAAGGTCAAAACATCAATACTTTTTCAGAAATCTGAAAATCCCACCTTTCACATGAAAGTTCTAGATCAAGTCGTGAACCGACTGGATCCCCATTCTATCCCGACTACTGATATGCTGAAAAGAAATGCTCCATTCGCAAAGGATTCAGAATACGTTCAAATTCAAAAAATACCTCAGCCAGACGCGTGGCTCCGATATATGAACTGACCTTCTCTAAAGTTAATAAATTGTTTGAAAATATGTTTATATGTTAGTCTTACTCAACATGTGAAGTGTGCAAATTCACAAAAAAAGTGTAAACATTCTTATCGTTTTTTTTTGCAGTACACAACCTCCTATTTTCTTCTCCTTTCGTTCCGCTCGTTTTGTAAATTCACACTTTTTCACATTCAATTGAAAATGATGGTAAAAATAACTATGTCTGAAGATGTCGTTATGTGTTTCAAGTATTGTGCAAACCGAGTGAGTCTACTCGAGTCGAGTTGATGCCTTTTCTCATCGGGTGTTTTCAGTGTGATTATACCATATTCATCGCTGAGTACGAATCCTTCCTGAATGCAATTTCTGAACTTCTGAAGCCAGCCTCTTTTCCAAAAGTTGTTTCATCACTTGAGATCAATTATTAGTTTCAATAATTGCAGGAATTCGAGTGCAACTTTGTGTCTATGCACTTGAAACTTTTTGTGGAATTTTTGCGAAATCGGGACCAACCAAACGACTCTGATTGGCCAGCGTTGTTGTATTTAGAAAGGAATGTTCCTGAATTGTTGCATGATATGAAATATTCTATATTGAAAGGAGTGAGTGATAAGATAAGATTTACAAAACCGTTTTCTTTTCATTGATTTTTTTTGCGATTTTCAGAAGTCTGGAGTTCGGCTGTCAAATTTTCAAACATTTTGAAAATTTTGAGGGTTTAAAACAGGATTGAAAACTTTGCATTTACAGAACTTTTTGAGAATTCCTAGTTTTCCACTATTCGCCGATTTCTTAAAAACCCCTCTTTTTTGACCCTTTCTGTGCTGAAAATGTGAAAAAGCAGGTGTCTTTCAGAAGTAGGCATATAGCTGAAAACTAGGAATTTTTAAAAATTCTGAGAATGCAAAGTTTTCAATCTAGATATGACCTACACCCTCCAAAGTTTTCGAAATGTTCGGAACCTTGACATCCGAGCTCCAGATTCCTGAAAAATGACCGGTACTGTGCAAATACGGAAAATCTCTCAAACGTTGAACTCAGACCTGGGATCCGTTCTACTGGAAGTATCGTTCCAAATTTGACTACATGATCCAAAAATCTAGGAATCAAAAAGTCATCGACTTCCAAATTCAATGTAACGGTGATTGCTTTGAAAGTGTGGGTTTTTCGAAGCATTTCTTGAAATACAATTTTAATTTTTTTCTAGTTTAAGCTACGAGATTTTGCTTTCAATTTCAAAAAGTCAAATGCGGACTACATGGTTTGGTTCGATTTTTTATCTTATATCTACAAGAGATTTTTCAGCCTCCATATATAAACACAGCCCTTCGGACACCTCTCAAATCCAATAACAAGGGAAATGTTTCCAATGAACTTGGGAAAACTCCTGTAAAAAGGGAAAATAATGAACTCGGTCGCTGCAAAGCTCATACTAATTTTCAAAGCAAGACAGCACGTGTCATATTTACACCAGCCTCTCTGCCAGAAAAAATATGGTTGTTTTCAGACATGTACAATGTGGACACACATTTTCTGAAATCAGCTTGAAGTTTTTGGATTTTGTGATAGGACCCACTGAGAATGAATCGACCGGTTCAACTGCGGGTATATCATTAAAAATACTTGTAAATCGGGACTTTGTCGGTCTTTCGCTATAATTTCTTTCAGAATCAATAGTTTTGGACCAACTAAATTGTCTATGATAGAACTCGACAAGTACTACAAAATGATATTATTTGGAAAACTTCACCTCGTCTATGAACAAAGTTACAAGGCTATATGATTGGGACTATGTAGCTCTATCATGCGTATTTAGATTTGGTCAAATATATTGATTCTAAAAGAAGCTATGGCAGGGTCCGGCTCGGCAAAGGCCCGATTTGCAAGTATGTTTATAATGTTTTCAAATGAAAAATCCTTGTTTTCCAGGACAATGTATATTCACTGCTTGTATTGGAATAAAAAAGAATATGATTCGAAGGATGATCGAAAAAGAACGGATGGAAATGAAAAAGGATTTCATTCAAAGGCTGGAACTAATAACACAATACCAGAATAAACTCGAAGAACTAAAATCCCTCGTTTTGGGAATGTTTCTACAGGAAAACGATAATACGGAAATTATTGAAAAGTCACAGAACTGTATAGAATCAATGAAAGCTCGTTTAGAATTAAAGAAAGAAGAGCTGGATGAAGAAACAAGTGAACGAGAGAGTTATTTGTGAGGAAACTATGCAAAATTCTGGATATCGGTGAAGAGAAGTGCGATAAGAATTTTTTTTGGCAATGACTAAAAATTCTTAATTTTAGATTCATAGAAGAACAGCTCGGAGGGTCGGAAAATGAAGAAAGAATGGATTCTGAAAATTCCAATATGTAGGAGTACCAAAAAACCAGCTTCCAAGATAATCCTTTGAAATTTTAGAAACCCTTCCAGTGTTGCTGGTTCCGTAGAATCTAGTTCTTGTGAGTGTCCAACTTGTACAATGAATTTGGTATGGAACAAGATAGACGAAAAGTAAGGATGTTACATATTAACTGGATGAAACTTCAGATTTTCAGCCAAACCGCTTCAGAATCTGTTAGCGAGAATAATCAGAAGAAATTGGAGCAGCTACAACAACTACTTATCTTAACGAAGGAAATGAAAAATGAACGGGATGAGAAGATGATAGAGGGTTTAAAGAAAGACAAGGAGGAGAGAAATGTGGGAAAATTAAATCATATAATATATTAGAAGTATTTTTTGCAGATGAAAGTTGATGAGTTGCTCTCAGAAATTGATTCTAAACTTCAAACAGGAGAACCAGGATAAGAAAGTTTGGCTGAAATTGATTGGTTACAATTTTTGTGTGGTTACAGTGCAAGCACTTCTGGTCCCCACAAAGATGATTCAAGCTGATTTTTTGACATTTTCCACCATATGGACCAACTAAACGATCATCATCAAATTTTGAAGAATAACGAAAATATCAATCCAGTTTTATTAAAATTGTAGCTCAAAAGAATCATACAATGTTTATCATATTATCACCAAAGTTTTATCAGTTGACATATTTTCTATATCTATCATAGGAAAAGAGATAATTAACCTCAAAGCGCACGTATGGGGTGGGCTTTTATTAAAGCAATTACGGTAACTTCACAAACTGACTACCAAAAAAGGTGAAAAAAATAATTATGAGATATGGAGACGAGATTCTGACATTTTCAGGACACATTTGAGTCAACATTATTACATTATGCCTGATTTTCAGAGAAGATAGAGTACATTTACACTTTGTTTCATAATTTTTTACTAATCAAAAAATATCAAAATGGGGCAATACTTCTGTCAGGGCACTTCCCAACTTTATTTTTCATAGTGATAACTCCAATCAGAAATTCTCGATAAGGTTGATGTAAAAATATCATCGAAACAGTGGATATCATTCCATTCCAGGATAAACCAATGATACATAAATTATTAATTGCCTGGTCATAACCATCAAACAACATTGAAAAAGTAAAAACGCCAACGGGAGCACCGAGAGCTGTGATGAATAAAATGAACTGGAGTGATAAAGCTTTCATGAATTTTTGTTGCATTGGAATTTGGCTCATGGGATACACAAAAACCGTCAGAGCCGACAATTAATTCAATACAATGTAAAGGAATCTAATTTTTCGCACATCCATTTTTTTCACCCAATAATGTGTGCCGGTTCTCAAAGACCGCAAGCAGTGATCCAGCAACTGAAATTTACATTTTTTCGTATTATTGAAAGATTTTGAAAGTGCTTACATGCGTGTCCAGTAACTGCAATATACATTGTCATTGGGAACCAGTTGTCATTGGGAACCTTGTTATAACAAATATTGAAGTTGTATATGAACCTAATAGTTGTAAGAAACATGGGGAACTCTGGAAATTTTCATTATGGTAAAGTGCAGTAATAAGATATACAACAATGTACTTTTCAGTTGATTTTCAGCCATTTTGATTGTTTTCAGGATTCTCAAGTTTCCGATCTTTTTGAAAACTTTGCATTCACAAAATTTTTAAACTTGCTAGTTTTTGGTCTGTTTCATAACCTCTAAACTTTTAAAAGCGGAAACTCAACAGTCGAGCTCCAGACTCCGGATTATGGTCAAAATGACCGAAAAACAATTGAAAAATACATTTTAAAAGTTCACTCACCTGAATGAGATCTTTCCTAGCCCCTTCTTGATCTCGAATTTGGCTCATGGGATACACAAAAACCGTCAGAGCCGACAAATAATTCAATACAATGTAAAGGAATCTAATTTTTCGCCATCCATTTTTTTCACCCAATAATGTGTACCGGTTCTTAAAGACCGCAAGCAACTGAAATTTACATTTTTTCGTATTATTGAAAGATTTTGAAAGTGCTTACATGCGTGTCCAGTAACTGCAATATACATTTGAATTGATGTTGGCACATGTAGTTTGGAAAGTTGGCCCAGTGGGACTCCAGCAAGTGCAGGAAGCATCATGAACGGGATAATGAAAAAACTCATAGATAAACTCATAAAAATTGTAGAAAAATGTTTGATAAGCATATTAGTTTTGATATTTTTCATTCTTTCAGAAGTTTTTGCAACTATACAGTACGTTCCAAGGATATGAATAGGGAGTTCTGAAGCTGCGATGACGTGGCATATCAAAAATAGAGTATTTGGAGAAGATAAAAAATTCAGAAGACCTTCAGAGCACGACATTTTGCAGAAGCTGTCAAGAATAGATTGTTGCGAAGAATGGAAGAAAAATTCTCACGCTTGAATCATGTGTCGGAAAAATTATGAGCAAAAAAAATGACAGATGAGGTCCACCTGCCCAAAAGATTAAAAATTCAGACTACAAATTGAATTGGGGTGATTTATCAAATCCATTCGTAATTCAATAAAATTGAATGAGTTGAACCCAGAAGTGGCTTTCATTGGGTGCTGTGTGATCAAAGATCTCGAAGTGTTTTTAATATATTTTCAGAACCAACGTAAATTCATAAAATCTTATTTTCCAGTATCAATAATTCAAACCAAAAACAAGTGATGATGGGGTCATTGCAACTTTGCCCTTTTTTCTGAAAATTACATTTGTACCGTAAAACCTGTGATAGAAGAGCACCTAATAAATGGGAATTGAGCTCAATTATCTCGATTTTTAAATTGGCTCAAAGTTAAAGGATAGGGGTTCTTCTATTACTGGTTTACGATAGTTTATAGCATTTGACCTAACCGTCAACCTCGAGATCAATTATCTCGGTTCCTATGAGAGATATCAAAAATGTGTCAACTGATAAAACGTTGGTGATGTTATGATAAACAATTTATTAGTTGACAACTTTTTTATATCGCTCATAGGAACCCAGATAAACCGGCTCTAAGTTAGTGATCCTTCTACTACAGGTTTTTGGGTAACTTGAGAATTATCTATTTTGGTATGGGCCATACCTTGTAATCTTTCTCTCAAAAAATTTCCTGAACGGTGGAAAAAATATACATAAAAATATCATGTTGACAGATGAATGGCTTGTAAACCACGCTATCAGAATCATAGATATCAGCTGTCCATGTTTAACCTCGATGATGAACATAACCGCAATAACACAAGGAGGTCCCAGACACAACATTGATGTGAAGACTTGTACCAGTAAGCTTTGAACAGCTTCCTCGTGTTTTCGAAATGTGGATGAAGATAATCGAAGTTGTAAAGTTTTCATCAAATTCAGAATATCAGCAACGAATAACAGAAAAGTCACTAACATCCCAAATCCTCCAATAACCAGACATATATAAAACCACAGCTGATCGGAAGTATTCAAGTATAATACAAAATGCGTTAGCTTTTTAAAATCATCTAAAAGTTTGGGATAGGTGTCTTCAATATATCGTAATTGGTAATCAGTACTCAGATGAATATACTGCATACATGCCACTAGTGTTATTGGGGCTACGACATTTTTCAAGTATCCAAAAATAAGCAAGGGTCTGGGTATCACATGTTTTTTGAGAATTACAGCGATTGTTTGGTGCTTCTCAACAAAACAAACAACCAAGCTTTCCAGTTGGCATAGTGCAACAAAAAAGGAGATGGTCTGAATATTTTCAAATTTTGATGAGAAAGCTGAAAGTAGAAATTTGTTACCACACAAAAATGAGACGATACATTAAGATAGGAAGGCAGTGCTCCAACTGTAGAAAAACTAAATAAAGGGTATAGTGGAATAGGTTGCATGAGGAATGTGAAAAGGAGATCGGTCAGTGTGCAAGCTATCTGAAAACGTTATTTTTTATTTAAAACCTGCAACAGAAGGGCTAACTTTGAGCCAAATTATCTTGATTCTTGTCAAAGATATAAAAAGTTGTAAACTGATAAATTGTTTATCGTAATATCAGGAGTGTTTTATCAGTTGAGACGGTTTTCGACACCTTGTATCGGAATTGAGATAATTGAGCTCAAAGAGCACGTTATAGGTGGGCTTCTATCAGAGCAAATATGGTAAATTACCTTAAGCACTCTAATAGAGTTTATCTCAATTTCCATAACAATTATCTCAATTTCCATAACAGATAACAAAAATATGTCATCTAATAAAATGTTGGTGATATTATGACAAAAATTTTATCATACAATGCTTTTTTTGATATCTCACCTAGAAATTGAAATAATTGAGCTCAAACAAGGAATGGGCATGGAACCAATAAACTTGAAAGTATGGCGGCCCTTCTATTAGAGGTTTTGCGGTAGCTTTCTTGATGCTCAATGAGCACTGCTCACCTGTGTAAACATCAAGTAATATCTAAAATTCTCCAGTCTCCCTGTCTTAAAGATAATAAGGTAAACCCCAAACGAGTTCAAAATCAGTGACGTAGTTCCAATGAATCGATAATAGTTGATCAGCCACGCCGGTTCCGAAAAGTCGATGGAATCCATGACAGACAAAAAATGTGTGATTGATCAAAAATTGTTTACTTGCGACATATTTTTCAATTCAGCTGTCGAGGACGACTGTGCTAGACAGCTGATTTCTGAAAATGTTACTACTAGAGAAAATTTAGATTGGTTTTGCTGAATGTTTGACATTCTCACATTATTTCGAGTTCTATAAAACAATATATGCTAAATCCCAAATTTTCCAATATTCCTGGTTTCTTTGAAAAAACAGCTTTTTCGAGAAACTTTTTATGTACAAAACTTCAAAAAATGACAAGAATTCAAACAAATGACAAAAAAGTTATCACAGAAAATTATCTTCGTCCCAAAACCGGAAAATCGGAAGCATGAGACAATCCTGAACCGCATGCTGGGCACGTTCTTTTCGTTTTGAACCATTGTTGAGCACATTTGGTATGATATCTTCTCTTGCAACATTCACACTTGATAGTCTCTTCCTCGCAATCCATTTCTTCGATGCAGACCAGACAATCGTTATCAGCAAGTTCTCCAGGTTTCACTTCTGGAGCCTTCAGCAAGGAGTGGCAGATTTTTGGAACTTCTGACTTCACGACATCCTTGTAGTTTTCGAGGAATTCCTGGGAGAGAACGGGAAACTCTGGGAGCTCTGGGATTTCTTCTGGCTTGACTTGTTGGTTTCCACGAATCACCACGAGTTGGTTATCCACCGCCTCCTTGTAGATTTTGACTTCGTTGCAAAATCTGATCATCTCAATTCGTGTTGCATTCTCAATAGCTCTGCTCTTGCATTTCATTATGAGTCGCTGTCCAAGCTCTCTGCATCTGCCAACTGGATTTCCGCGTAGAAGAGTGTCCTTAACCTCGAGAAGTTTGAAGAGAATATTCCTAACTTTCTCAGTGTGCTCATCACTTCTGGTTGGAGCCAGGAATCTCAATTCAGGATGTCTCTCTGCTTTTAGAGTCTTGATCATGTCGTCTTTCTCCAAAAGTGAATCTTTGAGCTCCTTTATTTCAGTAGACTTCTCATGAACAATCCGATCCATTTCCACCTCCATTTGCAAGATGGTATCCTGCTTTTCAAGAAGTTCCATGTCCTTTAGTTTCAGAAGATTCTCCAACATTTTGATTCTTTCATCCTTATCCATCTCCTTCTGTTTGATAACTTCGACGTCCAACTCTGCTTTGGCCAACTCCTTTTTCAGATGCTTGCACTCGATTTTTGCTAGTCTTAGCTTCTCATTGGCAGTTCTGGTGAATTGGCTAGCACGGAAGCATTTTTGGCACGTTTCCGATTCTTTGGTTCTTGGATTTCCGGTTTCCTGCTGGTCGGATGCAGAACTGGGTTTAGTTGAAGCCTCGGCTGATTCTGTATCTGACGTTAGAGGAGGATTTGATGAAGACTCTGAAGATTCTTCCGATGATTCTGCCTTCTCTGTTTTCTTCGTCTTTTTGGATCGCTTCTTTTTCTGTTTTGTAGAGGTTACATTATCCAAAACTTGGTCTTCTGCTTCTGGCAACGCTGCTTCAACGGCTTCCTCCGAATCGTCAGACAATCTAGATGCAACAGGCTCGCAGACAAAGTTCAAATGGGCTGTATCAGTGATCAATTGATTCGTGCACCATTCACACGTCATAAATGGAGCCCAATCGGTACACACTTTTTGGCCATGCAAAAATTTTCCAATCTTGTTGAATGTAAAGTAAAAATATGTCAATTGCATCTGGAAGACCAAAAAATGCATATCCGCCATTGTCAATGCCTCACGTGACTTCTGAGCAATCTTCCAATTGTACAATATTCTTCCTCCTTCGTCGACCGGGAAGTATCGGCTTAGATTGAGTTGCTTCAATTGATTTTTGAAGTCTTCCAATGAGAATCCTCCATTTCTCACTCTCCGGAAACTTTTGGCTTCAATTGACTCATCTTTTATCATTGATGCATAAGTATCCTCCCATTTTTGTTTAATCGAATCGAAATCAGTCAAGCTGATGAAGTAAATTCCTCTATCAGAACGGAAGAAGGTCTCGCCGGAATCGAAGAATTCAGCGATGTGGTCTAACTGATCATGTTTTACTGTTTGGAACACTCGTTTCGCCACAATTATATCATTAATAATTTCAAGAAGAGCATCACTGGCAAGGACGCAGTAGCCACCATCTGGAGAAGGAATAGGAACGGCGACGAGTTTAGAAGAAGGAAGTTTGACTCGGATGAACTGAAAATTATCAATATTGACATAAAATTATAAAATTGAAAAGCAAATCTTACCTCGATGTTCTTCATATCCTCCAGAGACACTTTTCTAGCAACATCTCTGAAATCGAAAGTGGACAGCCTTGGCATTGATTGCACATCTTCCTCGAACTTGGAGACGTCCATATTCTTGCTCTTCAACGACATCAGAAGCTCATCAGCAATCACAAAGTTATCCTTTCCATTGGTGAACAATCTGACGGTTGGTTTTTCTTGAACATTCTGGTGGAATGGTAGCAAGTTCATCGAGTTCTCCGTTATGAGTTTCCCAAAAAGTTTGGCAACCACGCCGATCCAAGTCAACATCACTGTGTAATCATGCTTGTTTTCTTCGAAAGGATACTTGTCTGAGTAGCTGCTGATTACTTTGTAAACTTCTTCTGATCCGGCTACATCTAGTTCGAGCATTGTGGTCCAGTAGACTTGATAGTCTTCTAACTTGTAGCTTTCAAGGTAGATTGGTAGATCCTCGAACATTCCGCAGGCTTTCATAGAAAAATCGTTGGCGTATCCATTCAATTTCTCAACAAAGCGCGAGAAATCTTCAACATGCAATTGGACCATCTCGCAGTGAGAATTCAGATGGGATCTCAATTGATTTTCCATGAATCTCCAATAGTTTTTCAACGCAAATTGGACAACATCGCTCTGCCAGTTCTCAAATGGGCATGGGACGAAAAGCAAGGCATAGGAATAGACGTCGACCTTGTAAAGGAATGGAACTCCTTTTAGACTCAGATGCATGATTGGCGCTGTTTTGTACAAGTGGTTGACATCGAATTGCAAAAGGTCTGCGCATCCGGCGACCCCCAAGAAATCGCTAATCGTCTTGAACAATTCCACATCTGATTCGAACATTCCTAACTTCCCTCTAGCAGCACGAAGGAGCTCCTCAGCATTTGACAAAATGTCAGGCTGATCACAAATCCAGTTAGAAGGAATCAGCTGAAAATCATGAAAGATTAAAAATGTTTTAAGAGGTTCACTTCTCACTTCTTCCGGGATACACCGTTTCACGATTTTCATAAAGTTCTCCGGAGTGAGCAAGTTTCTTCCATTGGATTGTAGAGACAACATAACAGAGTTAAGATCTGAATAGCTTAAGTTAGGTGTAGAATATAAAGAAAATTAGAAGGCGGGAAAAATCAATATTGTCAGAGGATAACAGTTCGAATAGAGTGGGGGAACACTCTGAATGAATGAATGAGAAATGACTAGACACCTGGACAGACATGGGAGGTCCTAGGTTCGGATAGCACAGGGAGAACACACCTGTTGTTATCTTATGGGAAACTTGGAACATCATAGTAATGGGTTTATGGGGAAACATGTGAAGCCAGTTATGTGGGCTTATGGGAAAATTGGTATGTATAAGTTTTACATGAGGTGAAGGAGCTCTTGGAAGATGATTGACAGGAGTCAATATAGCTAGGAGAGGACCACAATGAGACGAGTCTATTTTCATTGACGCGCTCGTCCTTCTCATTGGAAAACATGTCTCAAAATCTGTCATAAAGCACTCAGCCCACACTATTAAACAGTTTTCTGGGAAAGTTATTATTTATCTGCCATTTTAATCATTTTCAGAAGTCTGGAGCTCGGCTGTCAAGTTTTCGATCACTTTGAAAGTTTCGGAAGATGTAAAACAGACCTGGATTGAAAACAGCGTCCTGGATTGAAAACAGACCTGGATTGAAAAGTGCATTCACAGATTTTTTTTTTGAAAATTCCTAGTTTTTCAGCTATTTGCCGATTTATGAAAAACACCCTTTTTGACCCGTTTTTGTACTGAAAACTTGAAAAAATGGGTTTCTGTCAGAAACCGGCAAATAGCTGAAAAACTAGGAATTTTCGAAAAAATCTGTAAATGCAAGGACCATCCAGGATTCTAAAACCACTGATTATTTTTTTTATTTATTTAAATTCTCTTAAATCTCTACTAAATCAGATTTAAAATGCTGAAATTTCGCTCCATACCAAATTTTGTCATCGTGGATAAAAGTTAGATTTGCAGCTTGTATTTCTTGTAAAATGATAAGAATAGGTATATTAACAAATACTAGTAGGCCAAAAAATAAATGTTAATTTAATTATAGTTCTCCATGACGCTTCTTCAAAATCGCTCGGAACTCCTTCGTATGCATCCCACCCAACTTGGCCTTGTCGATCTCTGGAGCACCAGAAGAATCAGGAACAGTCTGAACATTCCTATTCAGTTTTTAATTCACCGTCCGATTCCAAACCTCATATCTATTAAAAAAGTTGGCAACAAAAAGGAACAGTTCCATTTTAGCCAAACCTTCTCCTAGACACTGCCTCTTTCCAACAGAGAATGGGACCAACTGCTCTACTTTTTTCAGTTTTCCTTCCTCATCAATGAATCGATCAGGATTGAAAATATAGGGCTCGGGGAACACCTGGAATTCCATTTGTTTAAAAAAATTTCAAATACAAGTTACCTCTTCATCATACATCACCGTACTGATTTGCGCGACCACTCCGGTCCCTTTGGGAATGTGGTACCCCTTGAGTACCGTATCCTTTGTCGTCATGTGAAGAAGATTCAAAGGGACCAGATTGGCGGTTCTTTGAATTTCATTGATGTATGCGTTTGTGTATGGAAGGTTTGGTTTATCGGCTGTAGTAATTTGCCGATCACTCCCGATTATTCTATCGAGCTCTTCGTGGAGCTTTTTCTGAGCATCTGGATAATTTAAGGTATAGGCAAAGCACCAGGTCATAGTGTTGGAAGTGGTCATGAGAGCAGCAAACCAAAGGTCCAGAACCATATTTGACAGTTGTTTGGTGCTGAAAATCATTTTTTGAAAAGAAAATTTCAAAGTGCGACTCACCTAAAACTTTCGAAATCCCCTTCCTTTTCTCTCTTTCTCTGCTCCTTCAAATAGGCTTCCACATAGTCCGAATTATCTTCCAATTCAAAATCTATCTCATTCTTATGATTCGCGATCTGTGTTCCAAAAAACTCTGTGAATCCCTTCTGGTACTTCTTGAATCTGTCAAGAATAGTTGGGCCTGGCATGATGTATCCCATCCATGGGAGGAAAAATTGAACTCGCATTGAGAAAGAAGCGAATTCTCCAGAGTTGAAGTTGAAGAATGCGCGAATGGTGCGGAACTCGTCGGCTCTGGTCTGAAAATGCTTTTTGAGTTTTTAGCTAATTCTTGCGACATGGTTTTCTAGGCCACCATAGTAAAATGACCTATGAACGGTTTGACATGCCTCTGTTGTGTTTTCTAAGTAATTTTGTAGTGGTGGCCTAACTTTTGCAAATTGGGTTTTCTAGGCCACCAATTAAAAAGACCCCGAATTTGTCTGATATTCACCTGGTGTGTTTTTTCTATGTCATTTTTAAGTGACGGCCTAACTGTTGTAAGTTTAGTTTTCTAGGTAACAATGGTAAAAGGCCTATGACCTGACATGCCTCTGGTGTGTTTTCTAGGCCATTTTTCCGAGGAAAGAGTTCACCGAGATTTCTTGAAGAATGCGCAATGCGGAATTTTTTTTGGTCATTTTGAAGTGGTGGCCCAACTCTTGCATGTTGAGTTTTCTACGCCACTATGGTAAAATGGCCTGTAAGTCGAATGACATTCCTTGGGTGTGTTTTAGATGATTTTAAGGTGGTGGCCTAGAAACTTGCAAAAACTTGCAAAAGCTAGGCCAACACGTTAGAATGAGTTAGAAATGGCCTGACATTCATATGGTGTGTTTTCTAGGTCATTTTAACGTGGTGGCCTAGAAAACCCAACGTGCAAAAGTTACCAGTGAAAAACAACTATGTAAAATGTCAACAACGACACTCCGAATTTATTTCGAGGAATTTCCTGAAAAAAATTTGATGAAAGAAAACATTACCTCATCAAACCGATATCCAAACAACATTTGATTGATCACATTTCCAATTGCTCTATCAAAAATATCCGTCAAATCAACACCTTCTCCCAAAGTTTTGTCACAATTTCGGAATATATCCTCCACTTCAATCATAATCCTCTGCTCCATCCTATCCTTTCCAACACCAAAATCTCTAAACTGATGAATCGCAAATCTTCGATGTTCCCTCCAAAACGGTCCGTTGGTTTCCACAACTCCATACGATCCTCCTCGGAACGCTTCTTGGAATGCCATTGGTTTTTTGTCAGCATAAGTTTCGCCATCTTTAATGAATGTTTCTTTGAGTGCTTCGTAGCTGGAAACTAGGATGTAAGGACGGGTTCCAAGCCAGAAAGTGTAAATGTCTCCGTATTTTTTGGTCCATTTGTCAAAAGCTTGGTATCCAGGCGCAGGGGACCGTAGGGAGAGAAGATTTCCGATTAGAGGTAGAGGGGTTGGTCCTGTAAAAATGTTGTAACTACCGTAAAACTTTGAGCAAATTTTTGGTTTCTGGCAAAGATATAAAAGAGTTGTCAACTGACAAATTGTTTATCATAATATCACAAACATTTCATCAGTGGACATATATTTTTGATATCTAACATAGAAGGCAAGATAAATTAGATGAAGCTTGACAATTTCAGCTTTTACGGAATCTTTATTCAAAGTTTGGTTTTAAAATCCATTCAAGTTAAAAAAGGGTAGATCTACCAACTAGAAACTACGAAAACCCAGACCAATAGATCAAAACCATTGTATACCGATAACAAAATTTTCGTCATAAGATCAATCACTCACCAGCCGGCCAGTTCCTTCGCTTCCATATCAATTGATGGAATAGAAATGCAACTGCTGCTACCAGAATGAGGTTCAAAACCATTCTAAAAAACTCAAAATAATACGAAAAAAAGGACTTGATGGGGAAAAGAGAGTTTGCGCAGGGATAGAAAGAAAATGTTAGAGAGTATCACATGTTGTTGGATACGCAGGTGGGGATACAAACCAAATTGTTTGTTTGGACAAAGTTTGAAAAGAAGTAGAAAATTGGACAAAGATCAAGAGTACACTGTGTACTGGAGTAGGTTAGTAGATATTTCAAAAAGAATCATCAATTTCAAAAATTAAAAAAAACCTGTATTTCAGTTGATTTTCGGCCATTTTCAGGAGTCCGGAGCTCGGCTGTAAAGTTTCCGATCTCTTTAAAAATTGAGAAGGGTGTAAAAATGACCTAGATTGAAAACTTTTCATTCACAGAACTTTTTGAAAATTCCTAGTTTTTCAGCTATTTATCTAGAAGACACCTGTTTTTTTTCACATTTCGTACTGAAAACGGCGAAAACAGAAACCGGCAAGTATCTGAAAAACTAGGGTATTTTCAAAAATTCTGTGAATTCAAAGTTTTCAAACTAAGTTCTTTTTACGTCCTCCAGTAATCGAACACATAACAGCTGAGCTCCAGACTCCTAAAAACTGAAAAAAAAACCGAAAGCCGGTGTACTAATCAACCAAGCAGGACTATACAAATGGGTTATCAAAGGACACAAACATGTTATGCAAAAAAAATTTGAAAAAATGATAAGAGAAAGAGTGAAGTTTTGATGATGAAACTCTAGAGATGATCAATAAACCAACTGTTCAGGAATTGAACATTTCAGAAAAACAAAAAGAAACAAATTACATTACCCGGACCCAGGTCACCCGGATCCAGGTCACCCGGATCCAGGTCACCCGGTCAGGGTCACCCGGATTCAGGTCATCCGGATCCAGGTCACCCGGACCAGGTAACCCGGACCAGGTCACCCAGATCCAGGACCCAGGTCACCCGGACCAGTTCACCCGGACCCAGGTCACCCGGACCCAGGTCACCCTGACCCAGGTCACCCGGACCCACGTCACCCGGGTCCAGGGCCCAGGACCTAGGACACAGGGTCTAGGACCCAGGATCCCCGGGTCACCTTCTCTGGAGATCAGAGAAGGTGAGAACTGATTCTTTCTTTCATTTCCCTCATCTTTTATATTACTTTCAAAAAGGTCAATGGTTTCTAAAACAATTCACGTCGTTTTTTTCTAGAATTTTAACTTTCTTTTAAAGCATTTTTTGCTACGGGGTTTCTTTTCTAATTTTATTTTTTCATCACGCTCAAATAAACTCGAATTTTTACCTTTAAAACCTGTGAAACTCCTTATCGTTTCTTCGAACCTAATTATACTGTTTCCTGTTTGAGATATTAAAACATCGGAAACTGATGAAATGTTTTTTTCTGATATCAAGACAAGCTAAATTGAAAACTTTGCATTAACATAATTTTTTGAAAATTCCTAGTTTTCAGCTATTTGCCAATTTTCGAAGGACACCGGGTTTTTTTTAGGTTTCAGTAAAAAACCGATTCCGAGATTTCGAGTTTCTGATTTTCTGTCTTTTTTCTAAAAATGGCCAAATTATATATTTAGGAAATTCCCCATTTAAAGTTTCATTTTAGTTCTGATATGATAAGAAAAATCATATTGATCAGGATTCCTAATTTTTTTTGTTATTCCTAATACAAAAAAAAATATTATCTGGTTTCATATTCTCTCTTCCTCACTCTTATTTTTACTGATAACATTTTCCCCCTTTTTTCTCTTTTTTTGTCAAATACCACCACCGGTTATCAGTTTGTTTACTGTTGCGTTTCGGGTAGAAATGTCGATTTTTAGTTTTTTTTTTCCAAATTCTGATTCTCAATTACGGAATTTCGCTGAAAAGTTTATAGAGTCTTCATTCGGAGTTTCAATTCTTCATTTGGAGATTTGTATTTTTTTAACTCAGTTTTTATTTGTGTACATGTTTTTTCATTTTTCTTCCTCTCCTATCTCTCGATTTTCCACTCTATTTTCTCCTCCAAAATTTAGTCGTAGCAATGCATATGACTTTTGGAATGTGTCTTCCTCAGTGTTAATTCTTGCTTATTTTCCATTTTCCAATTTCTTTCAACTCTTTCAATGTCAGAAATGGTTGCTGAACTGTTGATTACGACGGATATGATAACTTCTTTCAAGAGTTGCATTGGTCAGGTTTGTGTTGTTCTTCCTTGTTATCTTTAGATTTTCCTAAGTTTTTAGAAAAACTACAAACACTTTTTCGATAAATACAAAAGAACTCTGTGCAAGGATCTTGACAATTTCACCAGTGTAATATTAGAAAATGTAGGTTTTTATTAGTTTGTCAGTTCGATGGTTTCAGCATTTCTTACAGGAAACGAGTATTGTGATTGCTCAAAATGTAAGAAACCTGGTCAGATACTTGGAAAATTTCAATCCCCAGTACCCAGGAAGCAATGTGAAAGGAGCAAATGGGTTTGGGAATGTTATCGGAAAAATTCACGATGAAATGAAAGATGCAATTTTGGGAATGGTAAAAATTTCGATGAATACTATATTCTGAAATAACGATTTACAGAATTGGGAGTTTTTTTACAATGAATATATTCCACGTATCGATGAAATCATCAATGAAGCTAGACAGCAGAAAATCATATTTGTGAGAGTGGAACATGAGAATAACTGGTACCCAAATGTAAGAATTTTCCATTTCACATAAAACTGAATATTATTTTATTACAGTTTTCTACTAGAGGGAATGAATACTTTATCTTGCAAACAACTGATAGTAATCCAACAAGAGGAGATCCATACTACAGCAAAAACTCTGGTGAAATGCTCAAATCCAAACCTGCTAGGTAGAATTTGAAAAAAATCAATTCTGGTGTTCCAACTCAATTTTTCAGTTCTAAGGAATTAATGACATCCCAAGCTAACTTGAACGGCAGTCATTCAAATAATTCAAAAGTTGGAAATGGAAGGAATGACTTTCAAAGCGTCACCTCTCCTTTTGCAAAAAACTTGACACCATCTGCCAATTTGGGTAATCCCGGAGGAAATGAAGATGAAACGTAAGTTGAAGGTTTTTTACCAGTCCGGTATTTGTAGTTAGCATAATTGTTTTCAGAACACATGTTCAGTCAAAAATTACCAATTTCACATTAAAATCTGGGGGGCCACAACATGAAACTAGCCGACAGGGTAATTTCTCAGCGGATAGTCACACAAGGTGAGATATTAGATTTTGTTTTGCTTTCCTATTAGTTCGAACATCAGTTCTTCGAGAAATTCAAATATCAGAAATGGAACAATTGATTTTTCAAGCAATTCTTCTGTTACAAATAGTTCGGCAACAATCTCAAATATGGGCCATAACGGAAGCACTAACGGGTAAGTTGAAATTTGCAGGTTTGCAGATAGCATAGTTTTTTTCCAGATCGCATTATCATATTTCATTACATGGGAGTTACGGTAATTCCTACAACTCTACAAACTATCCAACGCCGCCGCATCACATTGCAATTCCAGATGACAATGTTACAAGGTAAGATATCACATTTAAAGTAATCTAATTAAGTCTTTTCAGCACAGAGAAAGAAATCCAGGAAATCAGCTCTGAATCCAGTGTGAGCCATATGAAGCCAATGGAAGAAATAGCTGTTTCATCATTCAATCATAAATCCATTATTCCTTCAGAGAACCAGTCCAGGTACATCTGTATATTAATAATTTAGTTTAAAATGTGAATCTACAGTGCTTCCCTCGGCAATCCAATAAACCATAACAATCAATGTGGCACCAAACGGCTAATCCAAACAGCAAGTGGAACCAAATTTGATGCTGGAAATGTATCTATTCAAAGGGCTGACGGTCCAAAAGGCTTTGGTACAGTCGCAACCATTCCAGTCGAGAGTCAACCTCATGGTTACTCCATAATCTCTTCAAACACTATGCGAGATACTCTTTCGCAATATGGGACCCTCCCAGAGAATGCTCAACGGAATCAGTGAGTAGCAAATCCAGTATCGACTTCATTTAATAATTCTAGAACCAATGACTATCAAACCCTGCGCCAATTAGAAATGCCCAATTCCCTACAAGAAAGTCTTTTAGCCCCAAAAGAGTGAGTTGGCTTTTATCTAGGTTTTCAAATAATTTTTGAAATAAAATTTATATTTAGGTCTGAAGCATGGGCCGACCAAGCCTTGAATAGTTTACGGTTACCAACACCGGATGAACATCATTCAATTCGTGATTCAGAATTTGAGAATGAGAAATATGACAACGATTTCTTCACTTACAATGCAGATATGAGTTTCCTTAATCATCAAGCTGATGTGAGACTTGAAAGAAACATTGAAAAAGTTAATTTATAATTTTCAGGAAATGATTGAAAAGGGTAAAAATACCAGCGAAGAGCTTCGTGAGCAGAAAGAAAGCCAATTTTATGCTCCACTGGATCCGAACATCTCATTAGAATCCGAAGAAGACAACACACGTTTCAATGAAGATCTGGAACAATTAAAAGCTAAGCAACGAGAAGAACTGGAAGAGAAACGAAGAGAGCGACGAAAAAGGCAAGCGGAGTTGGAAGAGGAAATGAGAAAATTGAGAAACGAATCCGAAGAAAGATTCCGAATTTTCATTTCATGTATTCTTTTGAGAATGCGGTTTGAAGAGCAAGAGCAGGATTGGATGGACTGGATTCAAACTTGCAGGTATTCTAAATCATATACGAGGTTCAAAAAGATACATAATAATTTAGGAACCACATTGCTTCTCTGCATCGCTACTTTTCAATTTTTAAGCAAGAATATCATACGGTTTTTGGGAGAAAACACCAACCAGACAGTGACGATTTGGAGGAGTTCCAGGTGAATCAAGCGTAGATTACATTTCAACGAATTTTCATAAATTTTCAGAAAGAGCGAAAAAGATTCTATAGCTTTTTGATAGAAGTATTTAACGATTTGGAAGACGATTTCGGAAAATTGAATTCGATAGAGGGCTACTCGGAAGTTTTGTTTTTGAGAATCCTTCAGGTAACTTGCTACAGGGTGGCTGAAAAGTATTGAGACACTTGTTTTTTGTTGTATTTTCAAAAATGGAGTTTCAACAAAAGAACCAGATTTATTTTTTCAACAAATGATAGTAATAGAAAAGATATCAGAGGAGATATTCGAAGTTTGAGCCTTCGGCCTTGATGCACACCATCAAACGAGCTGGAACAGAAGCGACGGTGCGCCGGAGGTAGTCATCGTCAAGATCATCCCATGCTTTGAGCAAAGCGGCCTTCAGTGAATCCACATTTGGGTGCGATCGAGCCATCACCTTTTCCTCCAAATATCCCCAAACGGAAAAGTCGAGTGGATTCAGATCGGGCGAGGAAGCGGGCCACATGTCCTTGCCCCAGTAGCCAGGGAAATGAGCGTCGAGAACAGCTTTCGTGGATTTCGAGCCATGGGACGGGGCCCAATCTTGTTGAAGAATGAAGGGTTGCTGGCCAAAGTGGCTAGTGACCCACGGACGTAAAACATCCATCACACCAACTTTTGGTACACATCCGAGTTGATTTTCACATTTCTATCAATGAAAACCAATGGGACTTTACCTTCCGACGTCAATCCAGCCCACACCATCACTGACTTTGGAAAAAGTCTCTTGTAGGCCAGACGACGTTTTGGGGACTTTGCTTCGTCCTTTGACAACAATTGCCGAGCATTCTGTCGGTTCGGAAGCGGCTCAACCGTAAAAATTTTCTCATCAGTCCAAATGACTTCAGAGAGGCGGCGCACCTTGAGTGCGTCGAGCAACTTTTTCGCTTTTTCGAGCCGATTCTTCTTGGACTGTTCTGTGAGGTATTGGCCACGAAGGAGCCGATAACTGTTCAGACCCAAGTCCTTTTTCACAATGGATTGAACCGATTGTCTTGAGATTCCGAGCGATGAAGCCATTTGGTTCATGCTGACCGCATCATTTCGTGTGATTCTCTTCTTGATGATGCCACGAGTCCGGCGAGTGTTGACAGTACGAGGTCTTCCGCTTTTCTAAAGCTCCAACACATGTCCTCGATCTTTCAATTGTTGCACAACTCGATAGACAGTTGCTCTCGGAAGAAGAAGTCTTCGAGCGATGTCACCGGTGGAGATGCCGTCGTTGAACAGCTTGGCAATGGTTTGGCGATGAGGAGAAGCTCGCATAACTTCGTGAAGAGATAAAGTGATGGGAAATGGCTCTAATGTCGGCTTATATACGCTCCCTATTTTCGGAATAATACGAAACTTTTTGAAAATACGACTTGGCACGGTGCCAAGAGCCATCATAACAAGTGTCTCAATACTTTTCAGCCACCCTGTATTTGATACTATTCAAAAATTTGTTTAAAATTTCAGAGTTGCCTTGCGAATGTGGCCACAGAACTCTTAACAATTGTTAATATTGTTTCAAACCTTCAAACTGATAAGCAATCATTTACTGAACTTGAGGAGGCCATATCAAAACTGAGAACCGAAAAGATCTACTCAACGTCACAACTGAGAGCAATCTGTAAAACTGAAGATACATCTGAAATATATCAAAATGTGAAATTTCCCAAGTTGAATAGTGTACCAATTATTGAGGAAACCTATTAATTGTGAATAAACGCTTATTTGGTTATTTTTGAATCAATTTTTATTCAGTTTCTAAAAATCTGATCATCTACTTATCCCTTAAGTTTTGTACCAAATTCCGAATAACTTAAAAAGATGCAGAGATGCCAACCAAAGGTGCCATACAACTGGAAAATGTGAGTTTTGAGATAAACACTCTAATAGAACGCTACTCCTGACTTTCAACTTTGAGCCAATTTATCTCACTTTTTGTGAAAAATATCGAAAAGTAATCAACTGATGAAACATATTCGACACTATGATAAACATTTTATCAATTGACCACTTCTCGATATCTTTTACAGGAAATGAGATATATGGGTTCAAAGTTGACGATCTGGGGGGGGGGGGGGGGGGTGTTCTATTAGAATGTTAACGACATCTGGATTCCATTGAAATACCCATATATTCAGCAGGAAAAGACTCTTGCTTATTTCGTGACAACTACGGTGTATCGATTTATTGAGCATACAAACAAAAAGATTGGAAACTCTAAAGTGCATTTGACCGATGTGAGAAAATATAAAAATGATGTGAGTTCTAGAAATGATAACATTGAAAATTATTATAATTGTTCAGGGATCGCCTGATTTGATAGATAAGAACCCGGAGTTTTACAGAATGGTCTGTACGAAAATAATGGAAGAGGATTTTGTTGAAGTGTCTAAAGAGGTGGACGAAATGGTAAGCTGAAAAAAAAAGAGTAATACACCTAAGTTATACTGTGTTTAGACAAAAGAAGAGATTATTATTTTGAAAGTGAAATATCCATGGAAATCAGAAGAATCTTTTCAAAATGTAGACGATTCTAGTTTTTCTATCATCCCGATGGAACAAACAGAAATTCAGGATGTTGAACTCTCAAAGGATGGAAAGTTATTGTTGGATGATGCGTTGGCAGAAGTCGATCGAAAGAATCAAGATGAGAAAACAGTAAAATTTTTTGAATGCGTTTTCACATCCTAACAAAACGTTTCAGCTGGAAAATCCTGAATCAATCGAACTTGAAAACATCACAGCCCTAATGGAACCGCCAAATCCATTCACCGATGTTTTGAACTCACTAAAAAGAGAAGACTCCGTGGAGTTACAAGATCCAACAATAGTGGAAATTGATTTGAATTTGGAAAAGTATTCAGAAAATATATCTCAAGTCTGTGAAGACGTCAAGGTGAGTTGTGGGAAAAGATGTGAATTGAATGTTATTCTTCAGGAAGTTCAACTAAAAATTAACCAAGATCTTCGCTCCAAATCTGAAAACACTGTTTGGAAGGAAATCAAAGATTCAGATGAAAGTTTTGTTGAGAAAGACGAGGAGTTCGAGGCGAAACTGGAAAAACAAAAAAGGGTACATCAAGAGAAATTGGAAGAGGCTAAAAGAAAAAGAGAAGAGAAACAAGTAAGCCGAATGTTAAAAACGTATGATATCAGTTTTAAATTAACTTCCAGAAAGCGTTCCAAAAAGAGCTTGACGAAATTCGGAAAAGACAAAATCAATGTTTCATAACTCTCTTGAATTGCATTCAGCTGCGTCATAGATTTGAAGAAAAGAAGCAGGAGGTTGCAGATTGGATAAAACTCTGTTATAGAGATCCAGTAGTACACTTGTTGAAGTATTTCCAAGATTATGAAGAGTTTGTGGGTGTTTTGCTTATTCCAGATGATAACTGTATTATTTCATAGGCCAGGAATGTGAAACAGTTCAAAAAAGTGCCAGAAGAAATGGAAGCTGGAGAAGAAGTTATACAACTCAACAAAAGAGTGTACATATTATTGGACATTTTATTCAACTCATTCAATCAACTAGGAAATATAATCCTAAGTTCTCCAGATGCCATTTTCCTTCAAGTTCTGCAGGTGAGTGTTTTTTTTAATCCCGCCAAATGTATCAGGTTTTTTTCAGAAATGCATTTGTGAGCATGTCCAAATTCTTCATAAAATTCTGGATAAGACTGAAGAGACCCAATTTGATCATAGCTGGTATCTGAAGCTGTGTGACTTGTTTTCCTCTCTTAAATATGCCGAAATCCCAACCACAAAGTCATTGAGGAAAATCTGCCAGGATTGTTTTGAAATCGAAAACTTGAAATTTCCGGAAAGAGAGATTAAAAGTTCTGTGGCTGTTATTGAAGTGTTGGAGGAATCAAATACATATGACAAAGATGAATCGGATAAATTGCCGAGTGAGTGAACTACATAAGATTATTTGCGCATAAGTTTGACTTTCAGCCTATGAAGCCACCTGCAAAACTTCTAGAAAAAGCAGAAGCCATCGATCAAAGAGTAGAGATTCTAGAAAGGTGAAGATGCTTTTTCAATGATTTTTTTAACATCTTTTTTCTAGAAGCATTCTACTGATGGCCACGAAAAGCGCTCTCACCGCAAATCCGGCAAGAAGAGAGAGGATTCACAAAATAGTAAACGTCGGAGAAGATAATACATATGCATTTCTGTAAATAATTTTTCAGTACTTGTGTTTTGCATTTTTAATAAACAATTTTTTCTCTAATTTTCATCCGTCTTGAGTCGTTAAGATAGAAATTTGTTTTATTTTTCCCCTAATAGACGCTGTCTTTTTCCTTTAATAGACTCCACTCTTTAAACTTCTAACTTTGAGCCAATTTTTTTAAAAAATATGTTTGATTATATGATGAACATTTTGTCAGTTGGCACCTTTTTAGTATATTTAACCAGAAATGAGATATATGAGCTCAAAGTTGACGGTATGAGGATAGTTGTATCAAAATGTTTACAAAAGTTTTCTGATCTGGCAAATGCAAACCGTTCATTGAATCCTATCTATTATTCTGCAAACTTTATACAAAGTATAACCCTTGTCATCATTAAGAAACCTTCCTCGTTGTTGTTTTAATTCCTTTTCATTCTCTTCTTTAAATCGTAGCAATGTAGTTGGCATATGTTTCAATTGATAAGACAATTCTGTTGTTTAGTTTTTTGACAACATTTTTTTTTGCTCCAGTGTGCTATTGTGCACTATTCTTTCTTTGCAAAAATAAGGCAATTCTCAACCGTTTGATCATTATGTTCTATACAAATTTTATGAGTTCCCAACATGTAATTTACGTTTCCAGTTCTCAGAAAAGGTTGCGGAACTGTTGATTACGACGGATATGATTACTTGTTTCAAGAGCTGCATTGGTCAGGTTTGTATCGTTTTTCTTGTTATTTTTTTCATTTGCTAAATTTTCAGAAAAACTACAAACACTTTTTCGATAAATACAAAAGAACTCTGTGCAAGGATCTTGACAATTTCACCAGTTTTATAGTGGAAAATGTAAGTGTTAATTCCTTAAGTATCCTGTTTGAAAGTTGTTTTCTTACAGGAAACAAGTATGGTAATTGCTCAGAATATAAGAAACTTGGCTAAATATTTGGAACATTTTGATCCGAAGTACCCGGGAAACGATGTGAGAAGAACAATTGGACTTGGGAGTGTTAGCGAAAAAAATTCGAGAAGAAATGAAAGATGCTATTCTGAGAATGGTAAAAATTTCGATTAATACTATTTTCTCAAATAACGATTTACAGAATTGGGAGTTTTTTTACAATGCATATATTCCATATATCGATGAAATCATCAATGAAGCTAGACAGCAGAAAAGCATATTTGTGAGAGTGGAACATGAGAATAACTGGTACCCAAATTTAAGATCTTTTTAGTTCGAATAAAATTGTATTTTATTTTATTATATTTTTCTACCAGAGGGAATATATATCTCATTTTGCCAAAAACTGATAGTAATCTAGAAAGAAGAGATCCATTCAAAATCAATAACTCAGTTGAAATGCTCAAAGTCATACCAGAAATTTTGAAGACATCAATCATGATGCTCAAACTCAATTTTTTCAATCTTCGCGAATCGAAAACATTTGACCATAATTTGAACGGCAGTCATTCAAATAATTGGACGTTTGAAAATGGAACGAGTGATTTTTCAATTGTCACCAGGGATATCCCTACGGCAAACAACTCGACAATACTGTCATCTGTCGATTTGGGTAATCGCGGAGAAACTGAAGTTGGAACGTAAGTTGAAGATTTTAGCCCGTCGGGTGTTCGGTGTTTAATATGTTTTGTTCAGGATTGATGCACGGGCCTGCCAAGCTTTGAACAATTTACGACCACCGACACCAGACGAACAAAAATCCATTCGTGAGTTACATTTTTCCGTAAGAATCCCGCGAATACCTTCTGTGTCTAGAGAATGAATCCAAACGTGCCTAAAAACTTTATGCAAAGTATAACCCTTGTCATCATTAAGAAACCTTCCTCATCGTTATTTTAATTCTTTTTCATTCTCTTCTGTTAGTCGTTGCAAGGTTGTTGATACATTTTTCAATTGATAAAACAACGGTTTTCTGTTGTTTAATTTTTTGACGACATAGGTATTTTCCTGCTCTAGTGTTCTTGTTTGCACTATTTTTTCTTCACAAAAATCAGGCAACTTTTAACTATTTCACCATTATGTTTTACATAAATTTTACTGGGTTATGAATCTGTAATTTTTGTTCCAGGTTTCTCCTCCAAAATTCAGTCGTAGAAATGTAGTCTCGGAATGTGTTAATTCTGTGTTAATTATGTGTAAATTCTCGCATTTTCCACTTTTCCTATTTTCTTTCAACTTTTTGAATTTCAGAAATGGTCGCTGAACTGTTGATTTCTAAGGATATGATTACTAGTTTCAAGAGCTGCATTGGTCAGGTTTGTGTCGTTTTCCTGGTTATTCTTACCGTTTGCCTATATTTACAGAAAAATTACAAACCCTTCTTCGATAAATACAAAAGAACTCTGTGCAAGGATCTTGACAATCTCCCCAACGTAATATTGAAAAATGTAGGTGCTCGTTAATAAGCCTGTTTGATAGTTTTAGTCTTTATTGCAGGAAACAAGTATGTCAATTGCTCAGAATATGAGAAAATTGATTAGACACTTGGAAAATTTCAATCCTCAGTACCCGGGAAATAGTGGCCAAGGAACATATGGAGCTGGAAGTGTGAGAGAAACAATTAACGATGATATGAAGGATGCAATTTTGGGAATGGTAAACATTTTGATTCATGAGTTTTCCTAGATTGCGATTTTCAGAATTGGGATTCTTTTTATGAAAAATATATTCCATATGTCGATGAAATTATTGATGCAGCTCGGGAGCAGAAAGTGATTTTTGTGTGCATCGAACATGAGAGCTGCTGGTATCCAAATGTAATAAACGAGATTTCAGTCTCATTTTTTGAATAAGTTATTTTCAGTTTTCTTCAAGACTGAGTTCAGATGCTGATACGAACAGCGAAACGACTTCAGACAAAGAACTTGATGAAACGAATTCTGGCGGGAATGAAGCTGGAAATAACTCAAGTAAATCAAACAAAATTAAGAAGCTTATGGATTAAATAAAAAATTTTCAGATTCATCTGATACAGACCCTGATCGATGTGTTGAAACTGAAGACGTGCACCGAAAACCGGAAACGATGAAAACGGAAATCCAAGCTGATTTGGAATCTTACAAGAACCACATTGATACGCAAATAGAAAACTTTGAGGCGGCAAAAAACGATTTGAAAGTAAGAAAAAATCATCGTTGAGCTTCTCGTTTCCTGTAACAGATTTGAAAATGTGGTCAACCGACAAATTGTTTATTATAACATTCAAAATATTTTGTTAGTTGACTACTTTCTGATATCCTTCACAGGAACCGAGATCTGTGGACTCAACGTTGACGGATTGTATTACCTTCTATTAGAGTGGTTACGGTAACTAAACATTATTTCAAGTTTCAGAAAGAAATGGAACAGAAAGTAGTCCAGCTTGAGTCTGAAATCAAGTGCTCATTATCCAAAACTACTGATGCCAATCAACAGAAAGTAGATGAACTTCAAAACGAAATTCAGCAGAAGATGGATGATCTGAAACTGTACCTGGAGGAAAAGATAGAGAATCATGTCACGATATTGAAGGTTCGTTTTTTCAACAAAATGAAAAAACAAATTATAAAGTTTCAGCAAGTGGTCTCTGACAATTTGAAGGAGCTTGACTCAAAAATTGAGGAAAAAGTTGAGAAAAAGTTCGAAGAGTTACAAAACGAACTTCGAACAAGGAAAGAAGAATCGGACAGGGAGCTTGAAGAGAGGTTGAAACAAATGATAGCTGTAACAGTTGAAAAGAGACTCGAGGAAAAGTTTGAAGAAATGCGAAATGAGAAGAATGAATCCGAAAGGAAAATTAGAGAGAGGTTTGAGAAAGCAAGTGGTAGATCACAAGCGCAGAAGGATTCGAGGTGAGTCTTGATTTTGTAAACTACCGTTACGCTGCGGATTTCAGCATGAATTCTGAGACATCTGAAGTTCCTGATGGGGAAGAAATAAAGTCAGAGACTTCGGGTGGAAGCGTGGATGACGATCAGCATGGTTCAGGAAGTTCGATCTCGGTGGAAACCACGCCAGCAGCGAATGGAGAAGAACACGTTGATCAGCAAATCAATGAGCAAGAACAAGATCCGGAAGGAACGGAGCAAGACCATGTATCGGATGTATCAGAAGGATCGATCTCGGTGGAAAGCATAACAGCTATTGGAATGAAACGCATTGCTCAGGAAGTCAGTGATCTAGATGTAGAACCGGATGGTGTCAATCAAGATCCACAGGGTTCTTCAGAAGAAAGCGAGGAAGAAGATATTGAACAACTGTTAGCGAAACAAAACCAATTTTATGAAGAAAAATTTAAGAAGATTAGGGATTCACGAATTCAGAAAAAAGTGAGTAAATATTAATTTCAGAAGACATTATTCTATTCTTTCCAGCAAAAGGAAGAGGAAGAACTTGAAGAAATGGCTGCAAACATGAGAGCTCGTTATTCATTCCGTTGATCGACACAGTTTATTTTGGGGCCCTCCTTTTAATAATTTTCTCATCTCTGTCATTTTCTCTATGTTTTTATGAATTCTCACAACTCAACAATATATTCTTCCTTCATCAGCACTGTTCTTATCTTTCCTCTACTTTTAACAAACCCATCCTCAACTCATTTATGAGAACAAATTTCTAGGCATAGCAATACTTGTGATCATTCTTGTGTCTCTTCTTCTCTACTCTTTTTTGTCCCCAATAAATTATTATTTTCTGAACAAAATGGTTGTTTATCTGGACCTCACCGAGAAAACTATTGGTTGTTTTAACGAATGTGCCAAGAAGGTTAGTGGGGAGTATGGTGAACAAAAACTATAATTTTCAGTTTTTGTTTCAGGGAAGTTATGCTAAGTTTGTTGACGAGAATCGAAAGTTCATCAGAACGTTGAGTGAGAATTTGAAAAAAGTGAAGTTTCCTGTGGTAAGTTTTGTTTCAAAAACGATAAATCCTCAGAAGCTTTATAGAATGAAAATATAGCTGATATGGTATCACAAAACTGCAAATTTTACTTTGACTATCTGACGAAATGGAATCCAAGGGACCCTCCTGCAGTTGTCCCCGGAACAACTCTCCTGGAAAGATATACTCCATGCTTTGTAAATGATTTGAAACAGGCTATATCCACTAGGGTGATTTTCGAAAGAGTTATGTACAAAAAACAAGTGGTGTTTCAGAACTGGGACAAGTTTTACTTGGAATACTATCCAACCGCTGACTTTATAATAAACGAGGCAAGAAAGCAAGGTGTACTCGACTTTCAAGTTCAGAAGGGATCAGGATCATACGAATCGGTGAGTAATTTATTTTCTGGAATGCAATGTAGTTTGAAAATAAGTTTTTTTTCAGTTCCATGAACGAGATTTCGTAGTTAGAAACTTGAAGCTAATTACGAATGATGCGATCAGAGTATATCCGAGCACTCCACTGGAAACTGAAAATTCAGGAGAATTAAACGAATCAAGGTACAAATCTATTAATTGAAACTTTTTCAAGTATCTGCTTCAGATCCAAAGTGAACAGTCCCATTGCCACAGATTCAGTGACCAACAACTCAGACGACTTTGTGCTTGATAATTCAACAAACAGTCTTCAATGGGATGAAGATCAATCGTTGGGTGATATTGATCGAAGAATAAAGCTGCATGTAGATGAGATGAAACAAACATTTCAAAAAGATTGCGAGGAAAATGTGGAGAAATTCATGCTGGAAATCAAAGACTCAGTGAGCTATATGATTGAAACAAATGAGGCGAAAAAGACAGAGTTAGAAAGTAAACGGAATCAGGAGATGAATGATCTCAAATTGTGGTTAGAAGAGAGAACAGATGTGAGGGCAGCAGCTATTGAAAAGAAAATCTATAAAAAATTCGAGGAGCTACAAAACGAACATAACGAATCAAACAGGAAAATAAACGAAAAATTGAGCAGCTTGTTTGAAAAATTGAATCGAATGATGCTCAGGTATGTTTACATGCCCATATTGTGAAATAACATTACAACTCTCAGCACAACCACAAAAACTCCCGAAGCAACCATCGAGACGTTAGATCAAGAGCAAAGAAATGATCCCATTTTGAATGGAACAATAATTGAAAACCAGAATGTTTCAATTGCAAAGTTGGAAAGCATACCAGAAACCGATTCACATCATGACAAAGATCACGTTGAAGGAGAAGTCAATGAGCGAGTTGACAATTCAGACAGAGCGAACCAAGACCAGCAGATCTATGAGTAAGACCTGTATGTACACTTCTACCTGATGGCGTTGTTTTTCAGGCGTTCTGAAGTTTCCGACCAAGTTCCACAAGTTTCTGGGTATGATAGTGAGGAAGAAAACCATCAACGACGTTTAGCGGAACAGAACCGAATTTATGGAGAAAAACTGAAAACAATCAAAGAGAGAAGAAACCAGTTGAACGTATGAAATGCTGTTTTGCCAGAAAATTCATAAGCTTTTCAGAAGGAGGCTACTATAGAAAATGGAGAGATTTCCGAACGGATTTCCAGGAACGCGGCTGGCCGGTACTCGGTTCATTGATTATATCAAAACACGACCTGGAAACAACTTTTCTTTTTTTCTCTAATTTTCTTGAATATCCTCTTGACAATTCGCCAATCTGAAACATTTTCAGTTTTGGTCCCCCCATTTCCAATTTTTGCGATTAGCAATATCTTCCTCACCCCATTTTTTTTTCAATTCTCTGTAAACAACTCTTATCAACGAAACGTTTTTTCCCTCTAATTCTCTCTCTTGCGAAATTTAAGCATAGCAATAGTTGTGTTCACTCTTCTGTTTCTTCCTCTCTCTTTTTTGTGTCCCCCATATACTTTTACTTTCTAAATAAAATGGTTGTTTATCTGGACCTTACCGAAAAGACTATTGATTGTTTCAATGAATGTGCAAGAAAGGTTAGTGAAGGAAAATTCTCATTAAAAACTATAATTTTCAGTTTTTGTTTCAGGGAAGTTATGCTAAGTTTGTTGACGAGAATCAAAAGTTCATCAGAACGTTGAGTGAGAATTTGAAAAAAGTGAAGTTTCCTGTGGTAAGTTTTGTTTTGGAAAATAAAAAATTCTGAAAAGTTTTCCAGGGAGAAACTATATCAGATATGGTATCACAGAACTGCAAATTTTACATTGACTATCTGATAAAATGGAATCCAAGAGAACCTCGTGGAGTTGTCCCCGGAACAGCTTTTCTGGAAAGATATACTCCAAAATTAGTGAACGACTTGAAACGCGCAATATCTATTAGAGTAATTTTCCGGAAAGGTATATAGAAAAGAACAAATAGTGGTTCAGAATTGGGACAAGTTTTACTGGGAATACTATCCAACCGCTGACTTTATAATAAACGAGGCAAGAAAGCAAGGTGTACTCGACTTTCAAATTCAGAAGGGATCAGGATCATACGAATCGGTGAGTAATTTATTTTCTGGAATGCAATGTAGTTTGAAAATAAGTTTTTTTTCAGTTCCATGAACGAGATTTCGTAGTTACAAGCATGCAACGGAATACGGATGATGGAATACGGGATCATCATAATACTCCAGTAGAAACCAAAAACTCAAAAGAAATGATTTTGAAAGTAGAGGAAAATCCCAAATCACACCAATCAGGAAATAATCATTCTATACATTACTCCGGGTAATTTTCAGTTTCATTTGTGATGTGATGTAAATTTAAACCAAAATTTTAGCAACGATGGACAAACTATTATTTGTATAGAGGATCCTCGTGCCAGCCCTACAAAACATGATAATGTTCGGAAAACCCTGATCCCTAGTCAAAGAGCGCATATTGACAATCGGCACACCACATCTCCATTGTAGGTTTTTTTTCATTTTAAAAAGTTGAAATTCAAAACTCATTTTATAATGTTTCCGGTTCCATACAAGATGTTCTGATCATTCTACAAATGGTTTACATGGTTCCAAGAAGTCTGATTATCTTAATCGCTCGGAAAATTCACCAGGAATTCCTCTCCGGAACATACCGATTTCAGAGCAGCCACCAGTTGATCAGCTACCGAAGAGCAGCCACCAAAGAACAAGTTCAACTCCATACGTGTATGTTTCTAAGACACCGTTACAGCTTAAAGTGCTGTTTTTTTTTAGAAAATCGCCTCCTTTGCAAAATAGTAGTCTTCACGACAGATACAAAGACCCAACTTTGAATAGTACTCATCGTAATCAGCACGTTCATAATACAACCAAAACAACTCGAACCTCTCAAATCCATAGGCCCGCTCAAGTACCGCTTCCGAATGTACCGAAGCAAAATCCACAAGGACGCTATTCTACACCTACTAGGATTCTATACAGTGAGCACACCATGATACCATCAGAACATAAGCCAGGATTGTAAGTTTGGAATATTCATTAACTTTCAAAATGTCATGTCATTCAGTTCCGCGGACGATGCTTTACAAAACAGGGAATTTCAGGGAAGATCTCAAGAATTTATATTTTCTCGAACTTCAGCATACAAAGATATAAGTTCGAGTAATGCTCCTCATAATCAACACGTTCACGATACAACTATAACAAATCGGACTTCTCATTCCGGTAGAAACGCTCGAGAACCGGTCCAGAATGTTACGAAACAAAATCCGCAAGAACGATGTTCAGGACAGTCACCATTCAACACGTTTGGACAAGATAGTCAGCACACTATGATACAATCAGAATATAAGCCAGGATTGTAAGTTTATCAATTCCATTAATTCCCAAATATCTACGTAATTCAGTTCCGCGGCTGATGCTTTACGCTCAATGGAACCCGAAATGACGCTCAATGGAACCCTGGAGAGTCTGTCTCGTAAGAATTTCAAATCTCGATAGTTTATATTTTCTCAAATTTCAGCAGCCTACAACGCAAATCAAGCAATTTTGAATTATCAAAAAGACATGCATCTTGCTACCCTCATATCTCAGAACACACCTCCAATATACGAAAGTTTAAACAACTCGTCGAGTTCTAGAGAAATAAGCTTATGTCGGGATAGCCCAATGCTCGATAATCTTACTTTTGATATAGAACTCGCGAAGCAAAACCTAAGAAATGCCCAAGAACTAGAAGCAAAGAGAGAGGAACGGAAGAAAAAGCAAAAAGAGTTTGACGAAGAATTAAAAACATTAAAGGAAGAGTCGAAGCAGCGCTTCCAGATGCTTCTGAAATGCATTATGTTGAAACGTCGCTTCGAGGAGCAGGAGCAACATTGGATGGACTGGATTGCAGGATGCAGGTGTAGTATATTCTTGGAAAATTCGATAAACTAAAAGGGTGAGAATTCAGACACAGTATTGCCTCGTTTTTGAATCGCTGGTACGATTTCTATGATGACGTCGAGAAAAGCCACAGAGGTTTTCGAAGACCAGAAATAGTGGACCTTTACGAGTTGCAGGTGAGGATATCCAGATACCGTAAAACCCGTAATAGAAGGGACCCCTAATTTTTAACTTTGGGCTAATTTATCTTGGTTCCTGTTAAAGATATATTATATCTTTAACATTTTATCAGTTGACACATTTTTTATATCTTGCACAGGAATCGAGATAATTGAAATTGAACTTGACAGTATGGGTGCCCTTCTATTACAGATTTTAGGATGAACTGATGAAACAGAATAATGTAATTTTAGAGAGACACCGGACATTTTGTGAACTCTATTATGGTCACCTTCAACGTTATGGAATGTGATTTTGAGCACATGAAAAGAATCGAAAGTGCTCATCCGGATACATTGTTTGTGAAAGTTCTTATGGTAAGTTACCGTCAAACCTGTAATAGAAGGACCCCTTAACTTTGAGCTTTGAGCCAGTTTATCTTGGTTCCTGTGAGAGATACATATACAACATCACAAACATTTGTCAATTGATACAGTTTTGATATCTTGCATAGGAGCCAACAAAAACCAGCCAAACCTGTAGAAATCCTTTCATTACAAGTCTTGTGGTTGATAATTTTTTAGAAATGCATTGCTGATATTGCTCATGAGCTGATAAGAATCTACAATTTCACTCAAAGTCTTGGAACCGATCAGTCGAAATTTCTCGAGTTACAATCTATGATGGCTCGTGTCAACCCTAACAAGATTCTCTCCACTGATCAACTCCGATCAATTTGTAGAACAGCAAATCCTTCAGATTATCAATATGTATCCTTTCCTGATCTGGATCGTAATTTGTATTTTCGAGAGCTATAAAGTGAAATATTTCATAACATAATAAATGTGTTGTACATATGAATCACACTTGTTTATGTCCATTTTTAAACATAGCAATAATACGTCATCCTTTTTTCCTATGTGGTCAATCAGCAAATAATCGTTTTTTTTTCCTGTTCCGCTGTAAATAACCTATCATCTCGCAGAATGGGTCAAAAAAGTTCCAAGACTTCTAGAAAATCTAAAAATGCATCTCAAGTAAATAAGGATGCATGTCCTGAGTCTTCAGCTGCTGATGGCTACGAAAACGAATCGTTTGATAGAATGTTATATGAACAGAATTCACGATATGCAAAGGAACTTGAAATAGTCAAAGCTGAAAGGAAAAGAAAGCAGGAAAGATTTGAAGCTGAACTTCGGAAAATGAAAGAGGAGTCTAGAAAGAGAATCGAGATTCTATTGAAATGCATTATGGCGAGACATCGATTTGAGGAGCAGGAACAAAATTGGAAGGACTGGATATTGGGTTGCAGGTAATTTTTGAAATATTTTTTGATTTGTTCCTAGAAAAGGTATGATACTCATATAATGCGTTTTTTAGATAATTCTGAAGTGGTGTCCTAGAAAACCAAATTTGAAAAGTTAGGTCACCGCTCTAAAATAGCCTAGAAAAAACATCAGGTGAATCAGATTAATTCTAGGTAATTTTACCATGGTGGCCTAGAAACTCAGCTTGCAAAAGTTAGACCACCATGTTAAAATGGCCTAGACAACACACCAGGTTAATGTCAGGCCATTTCTAGGTCATAAAAGTTGGTTGCCTAGAAAACTCAAAAGTTAGACCATCAAGTTAAATGGTCTAGAAAACATTCCAGGTAATTGTCAGGCCATTTCTAGGTCATAAAAGTTGGTGGCCTAGAAAACACATCAGGTGCTTGTTAGACTATTTTTGGACCATCAGCAACGGTGGACTAGAAAATTCAGTTCGCAAAAATTTGGCCACCATGTTAAAATGGCCTACAAAACACACCAGGTAAATGTCAGGCCATTTTCATGGTTATAGAAGTTAGTGACCTAGGAAGCTCAACTTGCAAAAATTAGGCGACAATGTTAAAATGTCGTGAAACCACATAAGGGGAATATCAGGTCATTAACAGGTCGTAGGGATAGTGGCCAAGAAAACTCAAAAGTTATGCCACAATGGTAAATGGCCTAGGAAACACACCATGTGCATGTTAGGCCTTATCTGGACCATCAACTATGCTGGCCTAGAAAAGTCGTTCGAACCGCATGAATAAAATTATAGGCAAAACATTGTGCTGCTTCTGAGGCGCTGGATGGATTTTGTTGAGGAACATGAAGACTGGCCGCGGATTGAAAAAACAGATCATCAAGAGTTTTTGGTAAAAAACTAATTTTATTGTGAAACATGCTACTTTTTTTTTCAGAGAGAATCGAGTTATCTTTCCGGGTGCACCATGATAACCTACAACGCAATGCAATACGATTTCGAGTTCTTGGAAGAGATTCAGGAAAAATTTCCAGGCGCTTCATTTGTTAAAGTTCTGAAGGTACGGGGTTTTACTTTTTTGGTTCTGTTTCTGACTGCAAACTTTCAGAAATGTCTTGTTGATTGTGGTCAGCTGTTACTGGATATCTACAGTACTATCCAGAGTTTGAAGCTCGAAAAATCAAAGATTGAATTACTGAGGAATCAATTTGGAAAGCTTAAACCTGATTTGATCTACTCTACGTCTCAACTTCGAAAAATTAGCATGGATCCGGACTTCGAAAAAAACTATGAAATTGCAAAGTTCCCAAATATCCCCCAAACTACTCCCCACGAGCTGTAAACCAATTTTGAAATTCAGAACATTTCATAATACCCTTATTATTGGTTGCTTCCTGTTTTCCAAAAAATTTCTTATCAGTAAATTGACATTTCGGTATTCCTAACAAATAAAATTGTTCTATCACCTTCTGGGTCTCTAAGAGTGAAGAATATCGTAAACAACATCATCAATTACGAGGTTTAGGCTTAGCAAGAACGCATGTGACGTTTTTTCTCTGCTGTCTCTGCGGAAGTTTGACACCTATTGAGATTAGTATATGCAATCAAGATGGTAGGGGATTCCAGCAATTCAGAAGAACAATCTGTAAGTTTACGATTTTCAGCAACTAGAAATCTAAAACTTTAGGTGAAAACCCGGTTATCCAAACCAGATTCACACATTTTCTTAAAGCCACTAATGAGCTACATCCTTTACTACTGTAGAGTAAGTTTCTCCTGAAGCGCCCAACTTAATATTCAAATGTTTTCAGATTGCTTTGCACTTTGTGAGAGAACATTTGTTAAGCTGTATGTCACAAAACAAGAACATCCCTGAAGAAGAGGTTAGAAAGGATTCGTCAACGATGTTTTCTGAAATTCTGTCATCTCTGGAAACAACTGGAGACGACGACAAACAAAATATGTTGGATAGCGTCCAAAATGAGCAAGTTGAAGAAATGATTGAAAAATATGCAGAGACTATGGACTGTATAAGCAAGGTTTGGTAGAGTTGAATTTCAGTTTCCAACAAACAATTTCAATCAATTAAGGTTCCTTCAGTAACTGAATCTACAGATAACTATCCAAATTTAACCAGAACCGATAATATGGCGGCTGAACATGGGCGACAAACAGAAGTACAATGTTCTCTGAAACTATATTTTCGTGGTTTACTTTTCAATTTTCAGCGTACTCACACGAATCACAGAATTCTCTGCCAAACCTTCCCATGGAATCAGCTCCAGCTCAAGAATCAGTGACTGATCCAGCTGACAACGAGGATTCGTTACGCGTATATACGGATTTCGGAAAAAAATTAGAAGAGCAAATGAGAGCAAATCGGCTGGAATTAGAAGCAAAGAGGCAACAAAGAATAGACAGAAATGTAAAAATTGATTTCTTAAAATTAAACTCATAATTTTTACATTTTCAGAATCAAGCAAAAGAAGAACAGAGGTTGTTACTAGAAGAACTGAGAAAAACTGGCTCAAATTCGCAATGAGTTTTGTTAATTTTGATTTGTCTCTTTTCTATGAAAATAAAACTTTTTTCACTAATCAACTTTTTGATCCACCAGTTCTCTGTTAGACGTCAGTATCGAAATTTATTTATTTCCCCCGAAGTACAGTAAATGTCAAAAAGATGAACGGAAACGAATTTTTCAGTTCATTTTGAGCTATTTTACACCCTTCAAAGTTTTCAAAGTGATCGAAAACTTGACAGACAAGTTCCAGACTCCTAGCAATGTCAAAATGGCCGAAAATCCACTAAAAAATACGGTTTTGTATATTTTATTGACCGATACTTTGATTCCCGTCGACCGGAACAATTATTTCAAAATTTACCTTCTGATTTTAGTTTGTCCCTTAAATTTCGTCTTTTCAAACTCCAGTTTCCCCTCCTGCACCCCATATCTTCTTCCTCATACACAACTCTTATCATTTCGGCAAGCGTTTTTTAAGACGTAGCAATTTTTTCTCTGGCTACTCTCACTATCTCGCTTGTTTTAGTGTTCTTCCTATTTTCATAATTTCAGAAACTCCCAATCTTCCAATTAATTCAGTTTTTGAGATGCTCACTTCTGATGCTCCGCAGGTCATGCTCTATGTGCTGCTCCGACTTTTTCAAATTTTCGTCAAAGTTATCGGTGATAACAATAACGGTAATACTGATTTGGCTTGCTCAATTCTTCGAGATTTTGCCGATGTAAGCTATCTTTTTCCTATTAGTTATCATTAAATTGATTGTTCAGAACTGGCCCGAATTCTATGAAACACTTGTTCGTTATTTCGAATTGTATAGCGATGAAATCAGCAAAACAGAAGACTTCAAATTGAGTCAAGAGTACATAGACAAAGTAAGTTCAAGTGAATTTTAAGTCAACGAAGAATATTCAGGAGAAAAAATATGTGATCAGGATTGAGTATTTTTATCCTGATGATGGCAAGAAGACAGCGTCAGTGGAGGTGTGTTTCTAAAGGATGTTCAAGAGAAAAATGTTGATTTTCAGGAAAAGCGTCCCCAAGAACTCACTGAAAAATTTGGCCAGCTAAAGCTCTCACAAAAAAATAAAACTGTCATGGAAACACTTCGTCTAATGGCGACAGAATCAATTCCAAACCCTATCAAAAATTTTTGCACCCTACAAAACGCTTTTACGATATTCTTCAGAACATTTAGTGGCCATCGGTTCTTACCACAGCAGGTAACCGTACTCATTTTGTGAACTTAAGAACAACTTCACTTGTGAGTTTCCAGAATAAATTCCGGTCTATTGAACAAGCCCCTGAAGTACCAAAGATTGAAAAAGCGGCACTAGTCACAGACGCGAAAACTGAAAGTCATTCAAAAAGTGACGAGGAAGAGACCTTCGAAAATCATCGGGAAGTGCCAAAGCTTGAAAAAATGAGACCAGACACAGACCCAAAAACTGTAAGCGGCAGAGAAGATTTAAACACTGACGGAAAAGAGGCTTTCCAAAATTATTATGAAACCTGCGAACCGACTAAACCTGGCTCATTATTCGAACAATTTGAGAAAGATATGGAACTTTCGAATTCTTCCCAACCCGAACCTTCTTCCGATGACAGCAAATATGAAATTGTGAACTTTATGGAGGAAGAAATTTTGCAAATGGCTGATCAAATTTCTGTTCATTCCCTAGTTAGTTAATTGTTTAATTTTTTAAGATTAAAAAAATTGTATTTAGGAGCAAACGAGGAAAACAGTAACTGGTTTGCAAACCGATAGAAATGAGTTAGAGGAGAGAAGTTCGACTCTATGCACTCCTCTAGAAGAAGATGTTGACACTGAAAATGAAGGATTCATAGAGAAACTTGAAGAACAAAAAAAGAGGCACGAAGAAGAATTGGAAAGAAGACGTCAGGAAAGGACAGAGAAACAGGTGAACTGATTATGAAGAATTGATGTAAGAACTACAGGGTGGCCGATAATGATAGGACGTTTTTTTTGAGAGCTCCTTGGCCCGGCGCCAAAGAATAATTTTGAAAACTTTCGAAACTAATAGAAAGTAGGGACCCTCTATAAGCAGTGATTTATATCATTTGGTATCATTTTGTTTTTTGTTCAGAATTATGAAGACTTCTCCACACCAACCCATGATCGCGACTTTTCTCGAGATGGGGTGCACGTGTTGATGTGGCTAGAAGACTTGGAGTTTCTTCATCAGGTGTCCGAAATGTTTTTGAAAATATCCAAAAGGATCAGAGGAACCTACTAAAACAAAAATTAAGACCACCATTAACTTTGAACATTCACCAGACTCGGGGGATCTCAAACGTCAAATTGAGCAAAAAAAAATGGGTTTTAGCCTTGGTATTGCATGATCCAGGGTTCAAAAAATCGGAAAATAGGATTTAAACACTTGCAGTTACCGTATCTACCGCAAACTGTTCCTTTCTTATACATACGGGGCCTGCAGACGCGAAAAATGCAAAAAACTATTTTCACACCTCCACCTGCGGCGGGTGTCAGACGAGATCTAGGGTGAAGTAATGAGTTTCCCTGATGAAACTCTTCCGAACCGTCGGGATCAGGGACAATTGTTACCAAAAGATGACAACGAATCTCCTGAACGTATTTTATCTTCAAATTGCCTTTCCGTAAAAATTTCAAAGTTTGGGATAGAATCACGGCAACCAATACTAATTTGTTGGTTTTTGGTGAAAATCAGCTCGCAGGTCTACCGAATGACAGTTTTGATGCATAATTTGTTGTCCTGGACCACTCAGCAGTTTGTTTGACATATTTAAAACCATCTGTAAGACTCAGCACCTCTTGTAGATCAAAATCCACAATTGCGGTCTTAGACGCTCATTTTCCTAGAAAACTCGGCTACGATTGGGGGCCCTCTAACTCTACGGATTTCAGTCCGATAGACTTTCTGTTGAAGAACAAGATCTCAGGAATCTCCTACTGTTTTTTGGACTTTTTGTAAAGACCATTTCAAAAGTTCTAGGGCGACTTTGACGTCAACTACACTCGCCGCACAGCCAAATTTTTTATCATGCGTTTGGAGGCTTCTGTCAAAGCTCGTGGTTCTAATCATGACTACTTGTTATAAAACTAAAATTCTTACATATTTTGAATATTTTGATAAAGTTATTACAGTTATAAAACGTTTTTCTAAAAAATGGGAGACGTTTAGAAACGTCCTACCATTATCGGCCACCCTGTAATTTTTCCAGGAAAAATTAAACGAAGAACTTCGTGAAATACGCCGTCTACAAAAACAAAAATTTGCGATGCTTCTGCAATGCATCCAATGGAGATATCGATTTCAAGAAAAGGAAGGAGAATGGTCGGATTGGATAGAACACTGCTATAGAAGACTCATCGTGATGGTTATAACGCAATTTGCTGTATTTCAGGAAGAACTGGTACATTCTAAGATTCGTTAGAATAATTTTAATTTAATTTTGTAGGGTGTGAGTGAAAAAGCGTTTAGGAAAACTTTGGCAGTGTCTCCTGAAACTGTTCAGTCTGAAGTTACGAATCTTTGGGGGAAAATAGAAACAACAATACATAAGCTATCGATAATTTTCGAAAACTTGGCAAAAATCTATGAGAATTTCGAAGATGCTTTATTCATTAGAATTCTTCAAGTGAGTTTCTTTTCGTTTCTTGGAGTTTTGATACGCTTCATCTCTCAATTTTTCAGAGAAGTTCCTGCGATATTTCAACCAAACTCATCAGTGTTCTAAACTGTTTGGATGCTATCGAGTACTCAACAGAATGGTATCAGGAACTTATTTCTAAGTTTGATCACATTGAGACAAGTGATGTTCCTGGAGTAACGGAATTGAAAAGGTTGCGCAAAGAAGACAACATCGACGGTTTAGGAAACATGGAATTTCCAAAATGGGAGCCTAGAAGTCATGTGAACATTGAAGAATTGTCAAGCGATGAGGAGGAAAATGTTATGGAGGACAAACCAAAAAATAGCAATGACTCGAGTAACGAAGTGCCTGAATCAGCTGAAGGAATCCCAATGGAATTCGTGAAAACCGGGAAAGGTATGGCTCATCCAGAAGATTCAAAAACTGCGTCCAACTCGGATAGAACAGAGACAAAAGATTCGCAACAAATTGGCCAAGTTGTTTGCTCGGTTCCAACAAGTGTTGGACTTGACGAGGTTGAACAATTTAGTAAGTTTAAAGTGGAATTCAGTATTAAGAAAGTATTTTTTCCAGCGTGCGATAAAGCTACAAAAGTTGAAATTGAAGAATTTTCAGAGGATGAGGAAGATATTGTGAAGGACAAACTAAAAGGCTTTCACAAACAGATAACATCTAAGAAGACTGCTCCGATAGCTGAAATTGAAGAATTGTTAAGCGATGAAGATGAAGCTGCTGTGGAGGAAAAATCAGAACAAGACAAATTCCAAGAAGTCAATCCCCTGAAATGCTCATGCGAATGTAAAAAGCGTGCTGTGGATTTGGAGGATCCATCAATCCCGAACAACAGAACAGGAAAGTGTTCCGATGAAGAGGATATCAAAATTTTGATGGGAGAGATTCTGGTGCGAGTATCTTCAAGCATGGATGATAATTTCGAGAACCAAGCCAAGAGTTCTACTAGAACAACACCACGAAAGGAATTAAAAATGGATGAGATGGTTTGCGAAGAAACGCCTGATTATGCAGATAAGGTTAATCAAAGACTACCAATTTTTCAAGATTTTAAAATCTTTTTCAGATTTTGAAAAAATCACAGAAGGTATATTATGAATGTCAACTGAGAAGAAGGGTTTACAAAACCTCGCGTTCAATAGAAAAGTCAAACAAGATGAATAAAAAAAATTGGAATCTATCGTCAACAAAGAAATTAAATTCAACAGAAATCATGGTAATAAATAGTAAGGATGCTCTTATAATAGAGGTATGTAAATTTACAGAAAAAATGCCTCATGCTGTTATACGACCACCTTCTAAGACAACCTTTGACGTGGAATAGGATTCATCCCATGAAAATCACTCATTCAGCCCGTGTCAACAACAACTACCCACCACAGCTAGTGCGAGTATGGAACGAAATCGTTAAAAAAGAGAAAAAATTCCTAGACCTCCAACAGATTATTGAGCTGGAAAAATCGAAAATTTTTAAACTAAAGTTTGATTAACTGATAAATGTTTTATCAAACTTGTTTTCAAAATCAGTGATGCACTTAACACTCGAGCTTATTATGCTCAGATTATTACCCAAAGAAGCGGAGTTGTAAGGGTTCCGAAAAGAGCGCCTAGCATAGTAAAATTGGCCAAACATTAAATAAAAAAGGCCGAATTAAAAAGATAATTGAATACAAAGCAATAACGTTCAAAAACTTGTAAATAAGGTTGAAAAACATTATATTGATTTTTTTAGCCACTCTATGTAACTGTCGTTTACAACCTTTTGTCTCGCACTGACCTATCTTCACATGTCTGTATATCCATCAACTATACAATGTCTCTTTTGTATTTCTGTCTCACTTATCATTGAGTTTTGTTTGAAACAGTTTTTTATCTTCTTTTTACATTTTTCGTTTCTCATTGCTCCCAATCAGTAACATGACATATTTATTTACAATTTTATAGTGTCCTTAGTTTAGTTCTCAGTGAGAGCAGCCACAGATTTCTTCATTTCAGGTCCATAGGCGGGTGGTCCTTCAAGAGCCTGATGTTTTGAAGATTGAGCTTGCTTCATTTGAATAGCCAGAGTCTCTTGAAGATGGTCTCGGCCGATGACATTGAACTGAAAAACCAAACTATTAGACTAAAGATAAAAAAATGTAATATTCACTTGTTGCATCAAAACGCCAACTTCCTTCATCAGCTGGGAAGTTTTGACAAGTGGCTCGGCGATTCCATTTTTGTTGATTTGTCTATCTTCTTCTTCGTAATCATCAAAAGCAGCTTTGATGCTGTTGATTTCAACCATCAGTTCTCTAAGAAGGACTGTGAGTTTTCCAATAAGTTCCTGGAAAACAACTTCGGCGGTTGATCCCTCGGCGCTGAAAACTGCCGCTTGATCTCTGAAGACTCGAAGTGCCGAGGTCAAATCATCCATATCGCAGTCGTCGAGTTCCTTTCCTTTCTTCATACGCTCGTGCATTTTGAGCAACTAGAAATAGTTGGTCATTCAGAATCATTTTTAAGATTTCACTTACTTGTGGCTCAATTGTATCATACTCATTGTTGAATCCTCTGTGTTTGTTTCTGAGAGTTACCGTGTGTTGTTTGAATCGCTCGAAGCCGTCTTCAATTGCCAGACTTCTGGAGAGCGCCTCTGAGTTTGCGACTGAAAATAGTTTGTTTTCTTTACGTTCCTACAACTATAATTTACTTCCATTCAAAATCCATCTTTCCTTTCTCAACAACTGCTGCTTCTGTTCCTCAATCTTCTTCTCATCCAATTCTTTAAGACGTTCTTCTCCCCTGATTCTTGTCTCGTGCAACTTTTGATTCATTTCCAGAAGTTGAGCGGTCATCTCATTCTGTTCCTTCTTCCGATCTTCTCTCAAACGATTCAAACACTCTTGACGGAGCTTCTCTCCATTTTTGATGATATTGGAGGAGTCGTTCAGTTGCGCACGACGAAGTTCTGCCTGTTTTTCCAGCTCCTTCTGCTGCTTTTCAAGTTGTTCCTTCCTTCTCTGAGCTTCTTCTTTTCCCTCTTGCTGACGGTTTTGGACTTGCTCTTTGACATTCGCTTCAATCTGCTTTTCCAATTCGGCAAGCTCTTGGGCTTGCCTAAAACAGATTGTTTGAAACTGCGGTTTCATTATTCAACACTTACTTTTTTCTAATCTCCAACAGTTCATCCTTTTTCTCTTCAGCCAGCTTCGTGGACTTCAATCTCTCCCGCTTCAGCTCTTTTTCTTGCCCTTCTCTCAAAGCTGAGTAACTTTTTTCGTGCTCCTAAAAATTGATTAATTTGTGATATGAAGTCATAAGTAAGTTCCACCTTCTGAACACTCGCCCTGGCTTCATTCACTCTCCGCTCGCGATCAGCTTCACGCTGAGCATATTTTTCGTCCGAAAACATCATCAAAAAACCTATAACTCGAATTAGATAGCACTATTTAGAACTAGAACTAAAGGTAGAGATATATGGTTGGGTGAAACCACTAGAATGGAACAAAAAATATGCAAAAAGTATGTACAATAATTGTTATCATTCAAAAAAGAAGGAGGAAATTAGGACCAATTAATTTTCAATTGCCTGAACATCAACATTTGGCATGGTTCCCTCCTGTCTTTGTTGAATTTTGGTTTGAATAACAACCCGATTTTCCGGAACCAGATCCATTTTGTTGATCTGAAAATGCTATTCTACGCAAATTATGTTCAATATGAACATACCGAATGGAACAATTCGATCTTAGATCTCGCAAACTCTTTTGCTTTTTCTGAATCAATCATAACGCCATCCAATCCCAAAATAAGTTTCAAATAGGCAATCACTTGGCCAAATGATGAAATCTTGGTTTTGATAGCTCGGATCACGTCGTCCATTTCAACATCTTTCAATTCAAACGAAGCCAAATTTTGCTCAACTTCGCTCAGTTTCGTTGAAATTGAGCTAAGGATTTCTGAGAAACGTCCAAGATATTTTCTGGTTGCAATTCTATTATTCGCCTTGAGCTTCTCGTATATTTTCGGCTCAGCGTCGACCTGGTAATTCCACGGTGTTTTTTCGGAACGTTTCAAAAAATAGTTTTGAATTAGCGAATTTTTTGGAATGCAGGCACACCTGCGTAGCGACTCAGCAGTTCAATTTAATAGTTTCAGTTTCAGTTTAATAGCAGTTTCAGTTTAATAGTTTCAGTTTAAAACGATACTCAGCGCGCTCAAATACGGTATTCGCGATAGAGAGCATTTACTTTACGTCCTAAAAGAAACACCGTGTAATTCTTTATATATTTGAGGGCTGGCTCTTACAAACTTACAACTCCAGAAATTTTCATGAACCATCTGTCAAGCTCTTCCAGGAGATTCTTCACCTCCATGATTTTCGCATTGATCCGTGCACGATTCTTCCTATCATCTGCGCTCTGTTGAATCGCCAAATTGAACATCCCGACTTTTTGTTGCTCTTTCAAATCGCTTCTGATTTCAGTAAGCGTCTGAAAGTGAAATATTCTTCATATCAAGAATTTTAACAATATCCTACCAAAGTTGCATTCTCTTTTCTCTGGGCTCTCTCTGCAGATGACACTGCTTCCTCTTCTTTCTGGATGGCTGCATGTTGCTTTATAAGTTCTTCAGAACGTCTCTCGGAAAGAAACCTGAAAATGAGAGTTTGAGAAAATTCTGATACATTTTCAATCTTATGATTATCCCAAAACTCACTCGTCCTTATCTTTCTGAGCATCTACTTCATCGAAGCATCTTCTAGTCACATCCACCTCAATCACGGCATTCTGAGCATTGGCTTCCACGATTTCCTTTCAGTCAGCTTGGTCAACATTTCCAGAATGGATCAAAGTGTGGAGCAGGAAATAGGAACTAGTGACTAAACTCTCTTTTGAAATAAGATCAGATCTTGATAGCAACTAAAAAATCACCTCATTCAGTTGGAGACTGGCATCCATCAGTTTATCCAAAGCCATCTGGGTTACGACATCACACTTGCTGCCTGCATCATTGACTCGCTCATCTGCCTGAGCCAACTTTTGAGCTAATTTCTCTCGATGCTTCCTTCCTTCCTCTTCTTTCATTTGTTGGTACTCTAGGAACATTTTTTCATACTTGTAATCCGGGCCTTTGCCGGGCCTACGCGGGCCCTACCGTAACTTCTTTCAGAATTTATATTTTCGAACCAATTAAATCAGATATGATAGAGCTCCACGAGTACTACAAAACAGTATGTT